AAGTTCTTCCTCAGGTTCAGATGGAATCTCCTTTCTTGTAGTTTGAAGCCATTGTTCCGTGTCCTAGTCCCCAGGGAAGCAGAAAACAACCTTGCTCCCTCCTCCCTGTGCCTCCTCCCTGTGGCATGCCCAGCTCCTTAAGCCACTCCTCATAGGGCTTGTTCTCCAGACCCTTGGTCATTTTAGTCGCCCTCCTCTGGACACATTCCAGCTTGTCAATATCTCTCTTGAATTGCGGTGCCCAGAATTGGACACAATATTCCAGGTGTGGTCTAACCAAAGCGGAATAGAGCATGGGTAGCATGATTTCCCTGGATCTAGACACTATGCTCCTATTGATGCAGGCCAAAATCCCATTGGCTTTTTTTGCCGCCACATCACATTGTTGACTCATGTTTAACTTGCTGTCCACGAGGACTCCAAGATCTTTTTCACACGTACTGCTCTTGAGCTAGGCATTGTCCCCCATTCTGTCTCTTTGCATTTCGTTTTTCCTGCCTAAGTGGAGTATCTTGCATTTGTCGCCGTTGAACTTCATTTTGTTAGTTTTGGCCATTCATCTCTCTAATCTGTCAAGATCGTTTTGAATCCTGCTCTTGTCCTCTGGAGTATTGGCTCTCCCTCCCAATTTGGTGTCATCTGCCTTCTAGCCCTTCATCTAAGTCATTAATAAAGATGTTGAACAGGACCGGGCCCTGGTTGTTTTCCAGTTGTGGTGTCTTGGTGGTGGGTCCGTAGGTGACTGTGGAGCCCTATTCTTGATCTGCATCTTCTTCCGCAGTGAGGACATCGGTTTTGAGGTGGTAGGTGGTCCCGGTCAGGGTTGGCTTGATGTGTCTTCCTCTTGGCACAATTCTCCCTTTCGCCCTCAATTCATGCCTCTTTGAATTCTCCAGCACAGCTGGTCACATCTGACCTCCAGTTAGAGCGCTCAAGGGCCAGGGTTTCCCAGTTCTCAGTGTCTATGCCACAGTTTTTGAGCTTGGCTTTAAGCCTATCGTTAAATCTCTTTTCCTGTCCACCAACATTATGTTACTTCTTCTTGAGTTGGGAGTAGAGTAACTGCTTTGGGAGACAGTGATCAGGCATTCGGACAACGTGGCCAGTTTAGTGGAGTTGATGGCGGAGGACCATTGCTTCAATGCTGGTGTTCTTTGCTTCTTCCAGAACGCTGAAATTTTTTTGTCTCTCTTCCCAAGAGATATGCAGGATTTTTCAGAGGCAGCATTGATTGAATTGTTCCAGGAGTTGAGTGTGACATCTGTACACAGTCCATGTTTCGCAGACGTATAGTAGGGTTGGGAGGACAATGTCTTTATAAAACGCACCTTGGTATCCCTATGGATGTCTCGGTTCTCAAACACTCTCTGCTTCATTTGGAAGAATGCTGCACTTGCAGAGCTCAGGCGATGTTGTATTTCAGCGTCAATGTTGACTTTTGTGGAGAGGTGGCTGCCAAGGTAGTGGAAATGGTCAACATTTTCTAATGTTACACCATTAAGCTGTATTTCTGGCATTGGAGAGGGATTGGCTGGTGACTGCTGGAAGAGCACTTTGGTTTTCTTGATGTTCAATGAGAGGCTGATCTTCTCGTATGCCTCTGCAAAGGTGTTGAGAGTGGCGTGTATGTCTTCTTCTGAATGCACATGGAGTACCTTATCATCAGCATATTGGAAATCTATAACAGATGTTGTTGTGACCTTGGTTTTGGCTTTCAGTCTGCTGAGGTTAATTAGCTTGCCATCTGTCCGATAGATGATTTCCACTCAGGAAGAGGCCTGAGGCTGTTAGAAATGATGGGAATTGAAGTCCAAAACACCTGGAGGGCCCAAGTTTGTCCATACCTGGTGCAGATGTACCCATAGTCCTAAAATAGCCAAAGTTAGGTTGTGGGAAAAGTAGGGCAGGGAAGCACACTGGCCTTGTTCCCAGCTTCCCGTCAACAAGATGAAGTATCATAGCAATGAAGATGGAAAATAAGGTTGGGGCAATAACACATCCCTGTTTGATACCTGATTCCTGGGGGATCATGGGCATTGTAGTCACCCCCAAAGGAGAGACCTTCCCAAACTCTGCCAAGAAAGATTGCAGGGCAGCAATCATAAAGAATGACTTGAAATTAAAACTGTTATGCCCATGACTCATGCCAGTTTCTAGATCAAACTGCAATATTTGGACACGAAATCCCGTGGTGTGTTTACTCAAAGGCAAACCCCACTGAACTGAGCTGAAAGGGGTTTAATCACTCACCTGTCGACACAGAAGACCTGATCTCTGACTTCCTCTCTGTCATTGTGTGTCTAGGATTACAGCCTTAAATGGATAAAGCAACCACACTCCGTGAAATATTAGCTGATTCATCTTTTAAGTTGAGCAAGAGCCTGGGTACATCCATACTGCAGAATGGATGCAGGTTGGCACCAATTTAACTATGATAGCTCACAGCTATGGGATTCTAGGAGTTGTAGCTTCACAAGGTCTTTAGCCTTCTCTGCCAATGAGTGCTGGTGCACCAAACTACAAATCCCAGCATTCGATAGCATTGAACCATGGCGGGTGAAGTTGAGTCAAACTGCATTCATTCTATAGCAGCGGTTCTCAACCTGGGGGTCGCAACCCCCAGGGGGGTCGCCTGGCCATTTCGGAGGGGTTGTGAAGCCGCCTCCATTGGCCTCGCCCCAAGGGCGTGGGCCAGGCGAGGGCTCCTACGCATGAGGCCTGCCCTCATGCAAAGCCCGCCTCGCCTGCTGCGCACTCTCACTATCCGGCATGGGTGCGAGGCGGGTGAGGGGTCCTCGGTGCAAGGCCTGGCCCACGCAAAGCCCCCTCACCTGCCTCGCACTTTCGCCATTCGGCGTGGGCACGAGGCAGGCGAGGGGTCCTCGGCGCGAGGCCTGGCCTTGCGCAAAGCCTCCTCACCCACCTCGTGCTTTCGCCATCATCGGGACCCCTGAGCAGGTTGCAAGGGGGGGTGTCAGATGGGTCACCAAAGACCATCTGTTGACCATGGGGCTTCTGTGTGGTACGTTTGGCTCAATTCTATCATTGGTGGGGTTCAGAATGCTCTTTGATTGCAGGTGAACTGTAAATCCCAGCAACTATAGCTCTCAAATGTCAAGGTCTATTTTCACCAAACTCCACCAGTGTTCACGTTTGGCCATATTGAGCATTCATGCCAAGTTTGGTCCAGATTGATCATTGTTTGAGTCCACAGTGCTCTCTGGATGTAGGTGAACTACAGCTGCAAAGCTCAATGCCCATTAAATCCTTCCAGTATTTTCTATTAGTAATGGGAGTTCTGTATGCCAAGTTTAGTTCAATTTCTTCATTAGTGGAGTTCAGAATGCTCTTTGAATGTAGGTGAACTATAAATCCCATCAACTACAACTCCCAAATGACAAAATCTCTCCCCTCAACCCCAAATTTGTGCCAAATTTGGTTCAATGAATGAAAATACAACCTGCATATCAGATATTGACATTATGATTCATAACAAGACCAACATTACAATTATAAAGTAGCAATGAAAATAATGTTATGGTTGGGGGTCACCACAAAATGAGGAACTGTATTAAGGGGTTGCAGCATTAGGAATGTACTACTTGTAGTGTACTACTTGTAATATTTGGAGGACCAAAGGGGTTCGGCACATGGAATAGTTAATTTCAAGTTTGGGCAGGTCTCTCACTAAGTATGGCTGCTCCTTGGGATTTGGTTCAAGTTAATGGGTATCATTCAAGCCCCATTAGATTCAATGGAATGTTATGGAATCCCATTTATAAAATGGTTTGGTTGTGGGAGAGGCTGCCTGGAAGTTCAGAGGAGTCTCCTTCCGTGGAGGTCTTTAAGCCAAGGCTGGCTGGATGGCCATATGTTTTGATTCTATGGCAGAGTTTCTCAACCATCCTAATGCTGTCACCCCTTAATACAATTCCTCATGTCGTGGTGACCCCAATCATAACATTATTTTTGGTTGCTACTTCATAACTGAAATTTTGCTACTGTTATGAATCGTAATTTTTTTTTTGTCGTGATAAACTGCAAGTCGCTTCTGGTGTGAGAGAATTGGCTGTCTGCGAGAACATTGCGCACGGGACGCCTGGATGTTTTTGATGTTTTTACCATCCCTGTGGGAGGCTTCTCTCGTGCCCCCGCATCAGGAGCTGGAGCTGATAGAGGGAGCTCATCCGCACTCTCCCCGGATTCGAACCTGCAACCTGCAGGTCTTCAGTCCTGCCGGCACAGGGGTTTAATCCCTGTGCCACCGCAAATATGTGATATGCAGGGTGTATTTTCATTCACTGGACCAAATGTGGCACAAATACCCAATACGCCCAAATTTTAATACTGGTGGGGTTGATTTTGTCATTTGGGAGTTGTATTTGCTGGGATTTATAGTTCACCTACAATCAAAAAGCATTCTGAACTCCACCAATGACGGAACTGAACTAAACTTGGCACACAGAACTCCCATGAACAACATAAAATACTAGAACAGTTTGGTGGGCGTTGACCTTGAGTTTGGGAGTTGTAGTTCACCTACATCCAGAGAGCACTGTGGACTCAAACAATGATAGATCTAGAACAAACTTGGCACAGATACTCTATATTCCCAAATGTGAACACTGGTGGAGTTGGGGGAAAACAGACCTTGACATTTGGGTGTTATAGTTGCTGGTGTTTATAGTTCACCTACAATCAAAGAGCATTCTGAATTCCACCAATGACGGAATTGAACTAAACTTGGCACACAGAACTCCCATGAACAACATAACATACTAGAAGAGTTTGGTGGGCATTGACCTTGAGTTTGGGAGTTGTAGTTCACCTACATCCAGAGAGCACTGTGGACCCAAAGAATGATGGATCTGGACCAAACTTGGCACGAATACTCAATATGGTGGGTGTATTAGCATATTCCACTGTTGAACAGCTCTTACTATCAGGAAGTTCTTCCTAACAATCAGGTGGAATGCTAATAATAAGACCATTGCTCGATATACCAGTTAATTCTCTTCTTTAATTTCCTCATGCCAATAAATTAAAGGTATCAGGGAAATGGGAGGTGGGGAGAGGCAGGGTTTGACACAGCGAGTGTGTGCCCACCGGCCCATCAGGTCAGGATGGTGGCCACATTTGGCAGCAGTGCAACAAGTTCCGATTGGATGCCGGGGATTCGGCACAGAGGGTTGCCTTGAATGTTGAGGTGGGCAAGTTTGGGGAAAGAGGCCAGGGGTTGGAGATCGGTGGGTCGCCGAAGGCCTGAGGAGGGAGGAAGGAGTTAAGGAGAATATTGACCAGAAGAGCCCATCTTTGGCTTCCAAGTGGAGTATGGTGCCCCCCACCCCACCTAGCCCCAGAATGCACCCCACTGTTGGGCTAAAGGGCTATTAATGGTCAAGGATACGGTTGTTACAAAGGGAGAGCTCTTCCAGCCGAGGAAGAGGAGGCAGCCCTTCTAAGGTCTCAATCCGGTTGTCATCGGCTTCCAAAACCTGAAACATAAGCAGAAAATACAAAATGGTATAAGCTATGGGGTCAGAGCTCTGCCTCACCACTGCGGGCAAATAAAACCAAGTCCCACTCAGAGTCATGTGTCAGGATCCAGTTTCCGGAGCCCAGATTTTGGCGCCGAAAACTAGAATCCTGACGTTCTACCCTGATAAGGAATCTGCAGCTGGTGACCTTGGAAGAAAGCAGTTGTCTGGTGGCGGGAAGCTTTGCACGGGGTATTGGGTTTGGCGGGAGCTCACGTTTTGAACTGGTGGGATTGTATATAAGGGAGTGTCTGCTGCGACCAGACAATCCCGGCTTTTCTGTGTCTGAGTATCTAACAGTAAAGATCTTTGTTTGACTACGATGGAAGTCTCGTGTCATCATTGAGCCCAGCTGTTGTGAGCTGACAGTCATGTCTAAGAAAAATGTTGCTTTGTTGGAAATTACAACCATCTTCAAGCCTTTGTTGATCGATAATCCTGTTGTTTACTTGTATGTATGTTCTGATATGCAGTTTCTTTCCTTGCTCTATGTTTTTTTTCTCTTGAGAAGTTGTGGGAGGGGCTGCAGATCACATGATCCGATCTGAGACTGCTCAGAGCTCAGACTCCATTTTAGATTCTTCTTAGATTTTGGACTGCTAAGAGCAAATACATGCTTGCTTGATGTAAGAGATATTGTTATTGCTTATTGTGTATTTTCTGTTTTGAGTTTATTTTAACTGTTTTGTATTGATTATTGTTATTGCTTTTGTTTATTGATGTGCTGTGGGCTTGGCCTCATGTAAGCTGCACCGAGTCCCTTGGGGAGATGGTAGCGGGGTACAAATAAAGTATTATTATTATTATTATTATTATTATTACTATTATGTCCCCATGCCATCTACACACAGGGAAACTATCTCAAACATGGGTTGTTGTAAGTTTTTTGGGCTGTCTGGCCATGTTCCAGAAGCATTCTCTCCTGACGTTTCGCCTGGATCTATAGCAGGCATCCTCAGAGGTTGTGAGGTCTGTTGAAAATTCGTGTGTCTTGGAACAGTTTCTCCCCGTAGAGATGGTCAATATATTGTTGAAGACTTTCATGGCCAGAATCACTGGGTTGTTGTAAATTAATTTTCTCAGAGTTCAATTCCCAGAATCTTTCTAGCTGGGGGTTTTGGGAGTTGAAATCTGAAAATAGCAAGTGGAAGAAGTGTGCTCTCTTACCTACTATACAACTGTAACACTTTTATACCACGTTAAAACTCTCTAGTTTGGTGAGACAGTTGAGTTCTTCTGATAGAGAATTCTAAAACTCTCAGGAAACTACACAACTCAGCTTTCCATAGGACGGAGCCATGGCAGTTAAAGTGGTATTAAAGTGTTGTAATTGCATAGTGTAAAAACAGGCCTGTGTTTCAATGACTGGCAGGGATGTGTCAGCGCTTGCCCCTCTTGTCAGTGCTTCCAATGCCTCAGGGGATGATGGGAGTCATAGTTTGACAAGCCTGGATGGAAGCTAGGCCAGAGAAGCCTCACCTCAAGGCAGCGCATCATGGCCAACGTGGGGGGCAAAGTGCAGAGGAGGTTGTCCGAGAGGTTCATGTGCGTGACCAGCAAGAGATGCTCCAGGTGGCAGAGCATGGTGAGGCCCTGCAGAAAGGAAGGGATGGCATTAGGGGAAGAGAGGGTAAAATTAAAGGGGAGAAATCCAGAACTCATCTCAATTATTCTCTCTCTCCACCCCACCTTGCTGCCTTTCAGCTACCATCTCTTAGAAAAAAAGTAACTCTTAATTTTTGGAGCATACCCCCCACAATCCTCTCACTAATGGGGGATTTGAGGAGTTCTAATAAAATAGGAACACTGCTCAGTTATATCTTTTTGATGCTGTTGTTATCCAGAGACAAAATCCAGTCGCTCACTTCCCATGTCTCTGCTGTGCCCCTTTAAAACAATCTCAGCCAATACTCAGCACTACATCTTCCCTCTCTTTTCATCTGGTATCTTTCATACATTTATAGATAATGTGATATGTAGCATTTACCGTATATCCTCAAGTATAAGCCAAGTTTTTCAGTCAGTTTTTTAGGCTGAAAAAGCCCCCCTCGGCTTATACTCGAGTCAACGGTATTTATTATTTTACTCTTTTATTATTATTATTATTATTACATGTATTATTGTACTCTACTTATTATTATTACATTTACATTATTTTACTCTATTATTTTTGTTATTGTATTTATTATTTTACTCTATTTATTATTACATTTATTATTTTACTCTGTTATTATTAATTTATTATTTTACTCTATTTATTATTATTACATGTACATTATTTTACGCTATTATTATTGTTATTACATTTATCATTTTACTAATTTATTATTAATATTGCATTTATTATTTTACTAATTTATTATTGCATTTATTATTTTACTCTATTACATTTATTATTTTACTCTATTTATTGTTATTATTACATTTATTATTTTACTCTATTATTATTTATTATTTATTCTATTATTATTAATATTACATTTATTATCCTACTCTATTAGCCATGATTTTAACAGGAGCGGAGCGCAGGGAGCATACAACCCCCCTGTTGCGCCAACTCCACTGGCTACCGATCTGCTACCGGGCTGAATTCAAAGTGCTGGCATTGGCCTTTAAAGCCCTAAACGGTTCCGGCCCAAGCTACCTATCTGACCGCATCTCTGCCTATGAACCCACCAGGACTTTGAGATCTTCCGGGGAGACCCTGCTCTCGATCCCGCCTGCTTCTCAAGCTCGGCTGGCGGGGACGAGAGATAGGGCCTTCTCGGTGGTGGCTCCTCGGCTGTGGAACGCCCTTCCTACGGACATTAGACTAGCACCATCTCTAATGGTATTCCGCAAAAAGGTGAAGACCTGGATGTTTGTGCAGGCGTTTGAGTAATTTAGTGCAATCTGGTAATGGAACATAGGAATGGAACAATGGACGTCGAACCTGGACTACGCTTGGATGATGAGAAGATTGGGTACGGTTGTTTTTTGTAATAATTGTGCATTGTAATTGCTTATTGGTAATTTATGGATAATGTGTTAAGTCAATTGTTATATGTTGTATGGAACCACTGCTGTTTCTACTGTTTCTACTGTTTGTGAACCGCTGTGAGTCGCCTTCGGGCTTGAGATACAGCGGTATATAAGCAAAGTAAATAAATAAATAAATAAATAAATAAATATTATTATTATTACATTTACATTATTTTACTCTATTATTATTGCATTTATTATTGTACTACATTTGTTATTACTGCATGTACATTATTTTACTCTATTATTATTGTTATTATTTATTATTTTACTCTATTTATTATTAATATTGCATTTATTATTTTACTCTATTATTTATTATTATTTTATTCTATTATTATTATTATTACATTTATTATCCTGCTCTATTATTATTATTACATTTACATTATTTTACTACATTTATTATTACTACATGTACATTATTTTACTCTGTTATTATAGTTATTACATTTATTATTTTACTCTATTTATTATTAATATTGCATTTATTATTTTACTCTATTGCAATTATTTTACTCTATTACATTTATTATTTTATTCTCTTTATTGTTATTATTACATTTATTATTTTACTCTATTATTATTTATTATTTTATTCTATTATTATTACATTTATTATTTTACTCTCTTTATTATTATTGGAAGGATACTTAAGCACATTTACACTGAAGAAGGTTAGAATAATGGTTTAATCAGAGTTGGACAGTCTTATCTTAAATTACAGTTTTGTGTAAATATTCAAAAACATTTAACCTCCTGATGCCTCAATTAATTTAATTTTATTGGTATCTATTTTTATTTTGAAATTTATCAGTAGCTGCTGCATTTCCCACCCTCGGCTTAGAGTCAAGTCAATACATTTTCCCAGTTTTTTATGGTAAAATTAGGTGCCTCAGCTTATATTTGGGTCGGCTTATACTCGAATATATATGGTACATAGAATTTTAGACCTCATACTGGGAAAAATCCAGGTTCAAGTGCAAGTTAACTCAGTGGGTTTGCATAGCTGAGCGAGATTCAAACTCTGGTGACGTTTGGAAATGTTGAACCCAATAAGAAGGCTTCCCAGGTATACTTGCAGCCAACTGGTGACCAGAAGGATGGACTGAAGCTTTCATACTATCAGGCTGCTATTGCTCAGCATGGAAAAAGGGACTGTGCAGAGACACATTGGCGACACCTGAAACACACCTGATAATCCTGGCTCTGACTCCCTCCAGGACCCTCCTGCCAAGTCCCATTCACTTTCCACTATGCCCCTCCATCTCTTACCCTCTGTGACAAATCCACGACCCGAGACTCCGCGTATTCCATCTTGAGGATGCTGTTCTCAATCAGAAACTTGCTGCGCAGATCGTCCAGGTAGGCTGAACGCATGGGGTCAGCGGCCTGAGAGCAGTCAAGGTGAAAAGGAAAAAGAGGTCAACAGGTACTGACATTATAAAGCAGGGGTGGAGCATCTGGTTTAAAATACTGGATGTCTTGTATTTGGGGGCTTTGAATCCCTTTTGAGTTGTATAGGATGCACCAGATCTTGCATCCCTTGAGAGCAAGCATTAACCATGCTTCCAACAGACCAGCAGTTTGAGAAACTGTAGGGTTTGACTGTGGGGTTAAGTCTTCTCAAACTATAGGGTTTGACCGGGATGGTGGCGCAGCTGGCTGGGAGTCAGCTGTATTAAGATCACTACTGACCGTAAGGTCATGAGTTTGAAGCCAGCCCAGGTCAGAGTGAGCTTCCGACCAAAATTGTGTAGCTTGTTGTTGACCTTTGCAGCCCGAAAGACAGTTGTGAGAGCAGTTCAGCAGTGGAACTCTCTGCCCCGGGGTGTGGTGGAGGCTCCTTCTTTGGAAGCTTTTAAACAGGGGCTGGATGGCCATCTGTCAGGGGTGATTTGAATACAATATTCCTGCTTCTTGGCAGGGGGTTGGACTGGATGGCCCATGAGGTCTCTTCCAACTCTTTGATTCTATGATTCTATAAGTAGGAAATTTAGGTACCACTTATGTGGGGAGGCTAATTCAACTGATTTATGAGGCCATAAAAATCTCCAGGAAGTATGCAAAGAATGAGGAAGTACTTAATCAATGTCACAAACAGACGGTGAAGTGACAGCTCCCTTGGAATGTTAAACAGCCTCTGAGTGTCTGTCTATATATGTTGTGTGTCTATGGCATTGAATGTTTGCCATGTATATGTACATTGTAATCCGCCCTGAGTCCCCTGCGGGGTGAGAAGGGCGGTATATAAATACTGTAAATAAATAAATTTGTCTGTTGGGATTATCACAAGTCTGGAGCTGACATGGGAAGTGGGAGCAATCCACATCATATTGCACTACGGAAGCAAGTGGCAACCTTACAGTGAGGAATCTCTTATGTCGCCTTTACAACATTGTTTGGAAGGTTCCTGCCTTTTGACATGTTTTCTTCTCTACTGACAAGAGAAGGAAAGAGGTAGGAGAAGACTGATGGGGAAGGAAGTAATCCCAAAAGAGAGGCACTTTTCCAGGCTTGGACCAAAGACATGCTCAGAAGTACCATTGCAACTTATGGTCAGAGACACCAGAAAGCCTTGAAGAAAGGAAAATGTCCATGAAAGGGTATTAATGTGTGCAATTCAGGTTATGGGACTCCCAAAAACAACAAGCTGAGCTGAAATCTGCTGGGCGAGTGGGCTTATTAATAAAAGACCCTCTTCATAAATGCACAGCAGAGACCCAGCACCAGTAGCCCCAAGTAATAAAAAGAACAAAAACACACAGACCAATGTTATCTCTTCCATAGGAGGCTTTTCTTTGTAGTAAAATAATATGGTTACACTATTTACAAGAACAAGGTTTCCGCAGCACAAATAAAGTCCTTTATACTTCCTTCGTTGCTTCCACGCTGGGTTTCTTTCTTATGCAGATAAAGAGCTTCACTCTTACAGAGCCTTCTCTCACACCAAACTTATACTGGAGCTTCACACAGTAGCTTTACACACATCTTTACACATGAGACCTCCAACCTGAGGCTTCTTTCACTGAAGCTTCTCACACCAATCCTTCTCACACTCTGAGGCCTTCTCACAGACTAAGGCCTACCTCACACAGAGGCTTCTCTCACAGAGAAAGGCCTACCTCACACTGTGAGGCCTTCTCTCACAGATAAAGGCCTACCTCACACTGTGAGTCCTTCTCTCACAGACTAAGGCCTACTTCACGCTGTGAGGCCTTCTCTCACAGGCCAAGGCCTACCTCACACTGTGAGGCCTTCTCTCACAAATAAAGGCCTACCTCACACTGTGAGTCCTTCTCTCACAGACTAAGGCCTACCTCACGCTGTGAGGCGTTCTCTCACAGACTAAGGCCTACTTAACACTGTGAGGCCTTCTCTCACAAAGGCGTACCCCACACTATTCTCACATAAAAGGGCCTACCTCAGGCTGTGAGGCCTTCTCTCACAGTCAAAGGGCTACTTCACACTATGGGGCCTTCTCTCATAGACTAAGGCCTACCCCACACTGTGAGGCCTTCTTACAGGCTGAAACTTTTCTCCCACTGAGGTTTACCTCAGACTGACAGTGAACTCACACCGAGGCAAACTAACACAGAGGCCTACTAACCTACAGGCACACCTGCCTACATGGGACTGCAGCTTTTGCTGAGTAATTGCATCTATTCAACCCTTTCAGTGCGTGACTCACATTTTTGTAATTAAAAATGCCTTGTTAATATTTCTGATGAAATTGACCTTTGTTGGCTTACCTTTAGGGTTGTAAAGTAGCTGAGGGTCTCGTGTTCGTAAACCAAGGGGTCTAAGGCTCTCATGAGGAGAATGATGGTCAAGAGGCACCCTGGGAAGAGAGAGATCAGATTAGTAACAATAAAAAGAATTATTTAGACCACGATGACAATGATAATAGTAAGGATGTTGACGCATCCCCCAAAATGTCCAGTTCCTTGCTGTCATTGTTTTATGATGATGAAGGGAGTGCAAAACCAGCTTCCTTGAGAGGCACTTTACAGCAGGCAAGGGCAAACTTCGGCTCTCCGAGTGTTTTGGACCACAACTCCCACAATTGCTAATAGCCTCAGGCTCCTTCCTTTCCCCCTCAGTTGCTGAAGTGGTTGAGGGGGAAAAGGAAGGGACCTGAGGCTGTTAGGAATTGTGGGACTTGCGATCCAAAACACCTGGAGGGCTGAAATTTGCCCATGCCTGCTCTACAGGCAGCTGAAGAAAATGTCTACTCTTGGGTTGTAGGTTTTTTGGGCTATATGGCCCTGTTCTAGAAGCATTTTCTCCTGATATTTTGCCTGCATCTATGGCAGGCTTCCTCAGAGGTTGTGAGGTTACAACCTCTGAGGATGCCTGCCATAGATGCAGATGAAACATCAGGAGAGAATGCTTCTAGAACATGGCCATATAGCCCAAAAAACCTACAACAACCCAGTGATTCCAGCCATGGAAGCCTTCGACAATACATGTCTACTCTTGATTGACTGGAGTAAATTACCTTCAGAGGACCTGAATATATGGGCAAATTATACAGGAGGAGATGCAGTAAGCAGCCTGTAGAGTAACATATGCAACACTCACAATGAGCATTGACGTAAATGGATCACTCCCCAATACACAACTGGGTGCCAGCTAGGAAGTGTCAAAGCACAATCATAACACCCAATCTGCATCAAAAGTGCCCAACGTGCATCACAAAACTCTTGCTGGCACCCAGAGGATTTGTCACATTTTGAAATTAAATGAAACTTTATTTGTAGCCCGCCCTACCTCCCTGAATGTACTCAGAGTGGCTCACAACAAAATACACAATGGCAAACATTCAATGCCAACAGTAATATGTAAACAATGTAAACATTTTTGCAATGAAGCTATGGTTTATTGACTGTGATATAGGATCTCAGCCGTTACTTATCTCAGATTCTTGGGATGCCAAATTCTGTGCTTAGTAGGTGCACAAACATACTACGGTTATGGAATGTAAACACAAAGTTCTGAGAGTAAACCCTGAAGTGCCAGCCTCAAAATCCTGGTGTTTTAATTCCTCCTAAGCAAAAGGTGACTTTTCCAGGTGCTTTTCCTGAATCACAGAATCCTAGAATTGGAAGAGACCCCAAGGGGCATCCAATCCCATCCTTTGCCATGCAGGAACACACAATCCAAGCACCCTTTGTGCAATGTGACGAGACACACACACACACACACTCACAGAGATGTGCCAAACCAGGGACTCACATTTGTTCTCTGGCTCCAGGGCCTGCAGTTCTTTGCAGGATTCCAGTTCGGACTGAAGCACGGTTGATTTCTCAGTGGACAGCTCGCACCTGGAGAAAGGAAAGAGAGAAGGAGATATGAGGATAAGAAACCATATTTGCTTGAGTTGTCGACATAGGATTTTCATGAAAGTGGGGAAAACAAGGAAAACACATACTTTTTTAACCTAAGAGAACATCTCTCTGAGAATCCCTAGGTTAGCGGTTCTCAACCTGTGGGTCATGACCCCTTTAGGGGTCAAACAATCCTTTCACAAGGGTCACCTAAGACCACCAGAAAACACATAGCTTCTTCCCACTTCCTTTGCTTCCCGGAGGCCGCTTCTTCTCCAGAGGATGGTGGTGATGTCACTCGGCCCCACCGTCTCTGCCATTTTAGGAGGAAGAGATGGAAGCAATAGAGGAGAGATTTGCTTTGGAGCCAAGAGGGAAGAGGAAGGAGGAGGAGGCGAGAAAGGACAAGGTGAGGGAGGGGGAGCCTAGGGAGGCGGGCCTGGGGGGAGGGCAGGGCTTAGAGAGGGGTGGAGTAGCCCCTCCATGGCTGAATCCCAGGGAGAAAGAGCAGTAACAATCAAAATACATCCTGCATATCAGATACTTACATTACGATTCATAACAAGTAGCAAAATTACAGTTATGAAGTAGCAACAAAAATAATTTTACGGTTGGGGGTCACCACAACATGAGAAGTCGAGGCATTAGGAAGGTTGAGAACCACTGCTCTAGATCCTGCAGCGCAACACTAGGGCCAAATTCCAGCAGAAGTTTTTTCTCTTTATTAATACCTATGTCCTCCAGTGCGACTCTCTGGTCAACTTCCAACAGAAGTTTGATCAGATTGCAATTACTTAGCTGCAGCAGCGTTGACCACTTCTTATTTGTTTCTGAACTCTGGCTGATGGGATTAGGAATGATTTTTATCAGTTTCTCACTTACTTTAATAATTACAATGTAAAATTCTATTGTAAAATTCTATTGGTGGTGCAGCGGATTAAATCGCTGAACTGCTAATCTTGCTGACCGAAAGGTTGGCGGAGTAGGGTGAGCGCCCGCTGTTTGTCCCAGCTTCTGCCAACCTTACAGTTCAAAAATGTGCAAATGTGAGTATATCAATAGGAATCGCTTCTGTGGGAAGGTAATGGTGGTCCATATAGTCATGCTGGCCACATGACCTTGGAGGTGTCTATGGACAACGCCGGCTCTTCAGCTTAGAAATGGTGATGTTCCCCCAGAGTCGAACACAACTAGACTTAATTTCAAGGGGAAACCTTTATCTTACCAAATAATACAAATAATGGCACAGTACTCCAATAATGCACAGAAATAATGCCAAATAATGGCACAGTTTTACAATATTGCCAAATAATGACATGTTGTTGTTCATTCGTTCAGTCGTCTCCGACTCTTCGTGACCTCATGGACCAGCCCACGCCAGAGCTCCCTGTTGGCTGTCACCACCCCCAGCTCCTTCAAGGTCAGTCCAGTCACTTCAAGGATGCCATCCATCCATCTTGCCCTTGGTTGGTCCCTCTTCCTTTTGCCTTCCACTTTCCCCAGCATAATTGTCTTCTTTACGCTTTGCTGTCTCCTCATGATGTGGCCAAAGTACTTCAACTTTGTCTCTAGTCTCCTTCCCTCCAGTGAGCAGCCAGGCTTTATTTCCTGGAGGATGGACTGGTTGGATCTTCTCGCAGTCCAAGGCACTCTCGGCACTTTCCTCCAGCACCACAGCTCAAAAGCATCGATCTTCCTTCGCTCAGCCTTCCCTAAGGTCCAGCTCTCACATCCGTAGGTGACTACAGGGAATACCATGGCTTTGACTAGGCGGATTTTTGTTGCCAGTCTGATGTCTCTACTCTTTACTATTTTATCGAGATTGGACATTGCTCTCCTCCCAAGAAGTAAGCGTCTTCTGATTTCCTGGCCACAGTCTGCATCTGCAGTAATCTTTGCACCTAGAAATACAAAATCTGTCACGGCCTCCACATTTTCTCCCTCTATTTTCCAGTTGTCAATCATTCTTGTTGCCATAATCTTGGTTTTTTTGATGTTTAGCTGCAACCCGGCTTTTGCACTTTCCTCTTTCACCTTGATTAGAAGGCTCCTCGCTTTTGGCCATCAGAGTGGTGTCATCTGCATATCTGAGATATGCAGATATGCAAATAATGGCATAGTACCAAATAATTGCACAGGACCCTGAAGGACATGACTAGACTTAATGTCAAGGGGAAACCTTTACTTTTAGTTTAATGTTTATATTTGGTAGCAATTTGAATTGTACAGTTTTTAAGATTGTGAGCTGCTTGGAGTCTCAGTGCTAGGAGAAAAGTGGGATATTAAAAATAGATGGAAGAGATGAAGCCTCCATGGGAAGGGGCAACTGACCACCATGACCCTATACAAATAAATAAATAAATATGATAATGATAATAACATAGATGGAGATGAAGGCTTTGCGGGCAAAGGCCACTCTGACCGTAATGACCCTATGCAAACGACAGCACGCATGATGATGACCAAATACGAGTGCTGTTTAAACTCTAGTTGACTTTGATGACTCAACCACAACGTAACGCTTTACCAAGTCACATTTAAGAAACAGCCCTCTGTTGCTAACCCAGGAAATGTTTCGAAAGAAATCACTCTTGCGGTTTTTGTTGGCTTTTACGTCTCTCTTTCCATCATGACTCTTAATAGTTTTCATTTCACCTCTTTCCTGTTCTTTGCCTGGTGGACAACAACATTTGCAGAAAAAATAACTCAATGGATGAGAAAAAGTGCCTATTAGTGGGATAGTGCTTCCAGGGAAGCAAAGTACCCACAGAGTTCATGTGTCTGGCTTCTTTGCAAAATCTTATTTGGGAATGTGCCTTTTAGATAGACAGAAACCGTTTTGCCAAAGTCACAAGACAGGTCATAAGACCAAGGGTCAGAAGACAGTTCTCGACAACAGCCAAGAATTACGCAGTGCCCCTTTCCCTAAAAAAGGGATGCCTGTGTAAGAAACGCCAAGCGACCATCTAACCCAGTGGTTCTCAACCTTCCTAATGCCGTGACCCCTTAATACAGTTCCTTATGTTGTGGTGACCCCCCAACCATAACATTATTTTCTTTGCTACTTCACAACTGTAATTTTACAGCTGTTATTAATTATCTTGTAAATATCCAATATGCAGGATGTATTTTCATTCATTTGGAACAAATACTCGCTACACCCAAATTTGAATACTGATGGGGTTGAGGGTTGTTATTTGAGAGTTGTAGTTGCTGGGATTTCTAGTTCACCTACAATATCAAAGGGTATTCTGAACTCCACCAAGGATGGAACTGAACCAAACTTGGGACATGACCAACAGAAAATACTAGAAGGGTTTGGTGGGAATTGACCTTGGGTTTTGGAGTTGTAGTTCACATACATGCAGAGAGCACAGATGCATCTGGACCAAACTTGGCAAGAATACTCAATATGCCTGAATGTGGACACTGGTGAGGTTTGGGGAAGATAGGCCTTGACATTTGGGAGTTGTAGTTGCTGGGATTTATAGTTCACCTATAATCAAAGAGCATTGTAGACCTTGACATTTGGGAATTGTAGTTGCTGGGATTTATAGTTCACCTAAAATCAAAGAGCATTCCGAACTCCACCAATGACAGAATTGGGGCAAACCTCCCACACGGAACCCCCACGGCCATCAGAAAATACTGTGTTTTCTAATTGTTTTTGGTGACCCCTCTGACACCCCCTCACAACCCCGCCCAGGGGTCCTGACCCCCAGGTTGAGAAACACTGATCTAACCAGATCCACCCTGAACTGTTATCTACTTGGCTGGGCAGAATCAGAGCCATGTTAGTTTCTTCTTCTTCTTCTTCTTCTTCTTCTTCTTCTTCTTCTTCAATACACAACAAGATGAGTACACAGCAAACAGGATCACTATGCTGGCTTTTGTATTGGATCACACGTTGGACGTTTCCCAAGTGTTTAGGACTGTGTGATGTATGTGGCGAATAATGCATGCAGATACGAGTAGGATGGTCTTTTGCAGCTGACAGATGGTGATATTGCCAGCGCCAATTATTTTTAAGTGCAGGCCAAGGTCTTTACATACTGCACTTAGTGTGTCAATCACCACTTGGAACCCCTTTACTGGGTTGTGTCAGAGTGTTTGCAGTTCGATTTTTAAATCCTTATTGTGTAAGCCATTGGTTGTACTGGTCCAAGGGCAAGATGGCTGGATGGCATCCTTGAAGTGACTGGACTGACCTTGAAGGAGCTGGGGGTGGTGACGGCCGACAGGGAGCTCTGGCGTGGGCTGGTCCATGAGGTCACAAAGAGTCGGAGATGACTGAACGAATGAACAACAATTGTGTAAGCTTTTCCAGTTGCTATTTAGCAATTTTGCTATCACCTGGGATTGTAACATCGACAATCCATACTTTGTTTTTTCCACAATCGTGAGGTCAGGAGAATTGTGCTCCAAAACTCTGTCGGTCTGAATTCGGAAGTCCCAGAGGAGTTTGACTTGTTCATTTTCTGTAGCCTTTTGAGTCTTTTGATCCCACTAGTTAGTTGTCGCAGGCAGATGGTATTTGTGGCACAACTTCCAATGAATCATCTGAGCAACGGTGTTATGCCTCTGCTTGTAGTCAGTCTGCGTGATCTTCTTGCAGCAGCCGAGTATGTGATCCATCATTTCGTCTGCTTCCTTGCAGAATCTACACTTGGAATATGTCGTCAACTTTTCAGTTCTGGCTTTGATGGCATTGGTTCTTGGGCTGCAAGGATCTATGTTTTTTCCTTGTCAATTTTGCTCTCATTTTTTTTCCAGGAACTGTCCATGGAGAGCCTTCTTTTGCCAGTTTTCTCTTCTGCTCTGCGTTGTATATTATTATTATTATTATTATTGATAACTGGCATTTATGTTGAGTGCTTATAATTTGCAGAGTGCTCAGTATTGCTCATTTTCACAGCCCTCTAATACAGGACATTGTCCCTCTCATTTATTTGGGTGGGGAGAACCAAAATGAACAATTGTGTCGTGAGCAAGGAAGTCCAAGGCTGGATCTGAACACACTTCTTCCAAACCCAGCTTAGTGTAGTTGATTTGCATGCTGGGGTAAGGATGCATCTATGCTTTGGAATTAATGCAGTTTGACATCACTTGAACTGTCATGGTTAAGTCTTATGGAATTGTGTGAGTTGTAGGAAAGGCGCTAATATTCTTTGACAGAGAAGGCTAAAGACCTTGTGAAACTACAACTCCGAAGATTCAATAGTAATGACCCAAAGGAGTGTATAATATTCTGGGTTTGTGTGAATGCACCCCTCTCTACTGTCCAAATGATCTGCCACCTTTTTTTCTGCATCTCACCTGAAGATTTGTTCCTCTGTGACTGAATCCTGGCTCCAGCAATCCCTGTGTCCTATGGAGGAAAGAAAAGGGGTGAGAAATAGAGTTGAAGAGGTTTGGAGGTGGGTCAGATACAGAAAAATGGGGCAGATGAGGTGGAAGTGGGGTAGAATGGAGGACTCACCCTTGAAAAGGACACATTCTTTCTGGGACTGGCCCTCGGCCCACAGGACTCGGAAGGTGTGCTGCGGCCAGTGGTCATTGAGGGCCGAAGCCGGCAAGTCACACAGCTGAGAGAGGCCAAGGTTTAAGGAAAAGCAGACAACATAAATTCAAGCTTTTGGAGTGTGATGAAACCTTCTCTTGGAGTGTGGTAAAAACCTTCTCTTGGAAGTATTGTCGAAAGCTTACATGGCTGGAATCATTGGGTTGTTGTGTGTTTTCCATGCTGTATAGCCATGTTCCAGAAGCATTCTCTCCTGATGTTTCACCCACATCTACAGCAGGCATCCCCAGAGGTGGACAATTTCAACAGAAAGGAAGAAACCATGAAAATGAACAAAATCTGGCTACCAGTATTAAAAAAAACCCTCTAAAATCAGGATAGTAAATAAAGAGCCAACACTCAAAAACAGGGGAATTCCAGTCAAGAAACAATCAGGGCCTGCTAATCACCTCCCAACAAAAAAATTCCCCCAGGCAGTAAGAAGCCAGACCTTGAAAACTGGGTGCTAATCACGGTGGCCAACTGCAACATTCACACCTACCTCAAACAGAAAAGAGTTCTTTTTCCTGCCTTGGACATTACACAGACATATTAACCCAATTTTCCTAGTTTCCAACAGACTTCACAACCTCTGAGGATGCCTGCCATAGAAGCAGGCGAAACGTCAGGAGAGAATGCTTCGGAAGATGGCCATACAGTCCGGAAAACACACAACAACCCACTTAGAATCAGAATCATTGATTTGGAAGAGACCTGATGGTCCACCCAGTCCAACCCCTTTCTGCCAAGAAGCAGGAAAATCGCATTCAAAGCACCCCCGACAGATGGCCATCCAACCTCACTTCTCTTGGAAGGTTTTTAAACAGAGTCTGGATGGCCATATGTTGGGAGGGCTTTGATGGTGTATTCCTGCACTGCAGAATGTGGTTTGACTGGATGGCCTCTTCCAACTCTACAATTCTACGGCAACCACAGGACTGCCAAATAGGAAGAACTCATATTTTTGCTAATGTAATCTTTGTAGAAAGGAGAAGGATTCTGGGAGTTGCAGTCCAAAAAAAAAAAAAGGAACAGTGAACGCTTTTGATTCTGGACCTACGGCAATTCCCAAAGATTCTTGGAAGGAAGGCATGTTGCAAGAAGATGACCTTCCGAGGTGCCTCCTAAGTTTCTCATTCTCTATTTAGATTTACGACCAACAAGTCTATTAGTAAGGAAACTACTCATTGTTTTTAAGAATTTACTCATGGCCTGCCATTCCCAACTATCTTAAGCAGAGAGAACTCGGTGTTCTCGGCGCTTCTTGGTTATTTTCTGGTGCATCCTAAGGTCAGAAGAAGCATTCAGGTTAAAAGGCCTACATCAGCTTCAGGGTTCTGTTTCCAGTGCAGACAAATAGATGCTCCAGCTCCCTTCGTCCTTCTTGTTTGTTTTAGTTCTATAAATACTTCAATACTGTTTTAACAAAATATTGAATGCTTTTAAACGCGCTCTACATGGGGTTGCCTTTGAAGACGGTCTGGAAGCTTCAACTAGTCCAATGGCCGGCAGCCAGGTTGCTAACAGGAGCGACTCTCAGGGAGCATACAACCCCCCTTGTTGCGCCAGCTCCACTGGCTGCCGGTTTGCTACCAGGCCCAATTCAAAGTGCTGGCTTTGGCCTATAAAGTCCTAAATGCTTCTGGCCCAATTTACCTGTCTGAACGTATCTCCCCTTATGAACCATTGAGACCTTTAAGATCGTCTGGGGAGGCCGTGCTCTCGGTCCTGCCTTCATCACAAGTACGTTTGGTGGGGACGAGAGACAGGGCCTTCTCAGCGGTGGCCCCTCAGCTATGGAACACCCTGCCTAGGGAGATCGGATCTGCTCCTTCACTCTTAACATTTCGTAGGCAAGTAAAAACATGGCTGTTCGAGCAAGCGTTCACAAATGCAGAGTAGCTAATATAGGAAATTGAATGACTTGACAATGGAACTGGACAAAGCTTGATAATAAGGAGACGCTAATGATGTTGTTTTTATTGCTCTTGTGGTGTTTTATACTGTTTAATGTCTTAATTTATATTATGTTTTATGTGTAGTGATTTGTTGGAAACCGTCTTGAGTCGCCGATTGGCTGAGAAAGGCGGTACACAAATATAGCAAATAAATAAATGAATGAATGTATTATATCTTTCTGTGGTTGAAAATGTATTTGGTTAATTAATGTAAGTTGCCTGGAGGATCAGAATTGGAAGAAAGGTGGAATATAAAATAAAAGGAACAGCAGGACGACTACTGATAACGACTAAAAAATTGGGTTGCCTTTTCCAGAAGCTTTCTCTGTGTTTCAAATAAGAGTCGGCTCTCTACCTCTGACTTATTTGATTATTCATGGATTTAATTTAAAATGTTCTCGTGGCAAATCTCCAGGGCCTCCAGTGTGACTCTGGGTCAACATCCAAAGTTGAGATCCCCAAAATTGAGATTCCATTTTTTTTCAATTTGCAGGTTTTTTTTGCTTTTGTAGGGTTCCTGTGCCCCTAACCCTAGAAAATGTGGGAGGCTGGCTGCATTTTTTCAAAGGTGCAGTAACCAAAACTGTTAAAGGTAAAGATTTCCCTTGATATTAAGTCTAGTTGTGTCAGACTCTGGGGGTCATGCTCATCTCCAAAGAGCTGTCATTGTCCGTAGACACCTACAAGGTCATGTGGCCACGATAACTGCATGGAGTGCTGTTACCTTCCCGCAGAAGCGGTACCCCTTGAGCTACTCACATTTGAATGTTTTCGAGTTGCTAGATTGACAGAAGCTGTTACTACATTCCAAATGTGGTCACACTGCAGATTTTTATATCAACAGTAAGATACTGGCAGTTTCATTTTCAGTTCCTTTTTAACTGGATTGCCCTTTTCAGAACCGCTGAATATTAGGATATGTCATTGCTGCGGTGGCGCAAGGAGTCAAACTCTTGTACTGCTGAACTGCTGATCTGAAGGTCGGCAGTTCGAATCCATGAAACAGGACGAAAACATACAAATGTGAGTAGGAAAAGGCAAAGAGACGCTCCAAACAACCTTGCCAGCTAAACAACCAGGAGGTGACAATGCAGATTCCTCGGCTTGAAAAATGGAGAAAGCACCTTCCGCAGACCTAGAGATGAGCACCACCTCCAGAAGCTGGAAATGAAAGGCGAAGCCTCTGCCTTTGTGTGTCTCATTGTATATGACTGCAAAGGCATTGAATGTTTGCCTATGTATGTAAATGCGCCAATCCGCTCAGAGTTTCCTGGGGAGATGGGAATATAAATAAAGTGAATTATTATTATTATTATTATTATTATTATTATTATTATTATTATTTGAAAGACAACAAGGTGAATCCACAGCAGACAAGATCACTCTGCTGGCTGTTGCATTGGATCACATGTCGGACACTTCCCAAGTGTCTAGGATTGTGTGATGTATCGGCAAATAATGCGTGCAGATCCCAGTAAGGTGGCCTTCTGCAGCTGATAGGTGGTGATTTTGTCAGCGCCGATATTATTATTATTATTATTATTATTATTATTTGAAAGACAACAAGATGAGTCCACAGCAGACAAGATCACTCTGCTGGCTATTGTATTGGATCGCACGTCAGACACTTCCCAAGTGTCTAGGACTGTGTGATGTGGTGAATAATGCGTGCAGATCCCAGTAAGGTGGCCTTCTGCAGCTGGCAAATGGTTATTTTGTCAGCGCCATTATTATTATTATTATTATTATTATTATTATTATTATTTGAAAGGCAACAAGATGAGTCCACAGCAGACAAGATCACTCTGCTGGCTGTTGTATTGGATCACACATCGGACACTTCCCTATTATTATTATTATTATTATCTCATTTATTTATTTATTTATTTATTTATTTATTTATTTATTTCATTCTGTTCCATTCACCTCCTCCTTTCTGCTGACTTCCACTTTCTTCTTTTCCTCACCCTGAGCTGCTTCTGCTTGACTCCCTATCTCTCCACAGCTCTGCTCGTTCCTTCTATAAAAAGACCTAGTAACCTTTCACTTATACCCAAAATTAGCCTTTTGGATATTTGCCCTTCCCAGCTGACTTGCATCTTCTGCTTTGGCAATGGAAGTGTCTGCCCAAAAAACCAGTATTTATCACCTTCAAGTTAGCAGTTTTAATTGCACAGGGTTCAATTCCCTGCTTGACCATGAAACCCACTGGGTAATCTTATGCAAGTCACACTCTCTCAGCCTCAGAGAAGCCTCAGGGAAGGAAACTAGAGACAAAGTTGAAGTACTTTGGCCACATCATGAGGAGACAGCAAAGCCTAGAGAAGACAATTATGCTGGGGAAAGTGGAAGGCAAAAGGAAGAGGGGCCAACCAAGGGCAGGACAGATGGATGGCATCCTTGAAGTGACTGGACTGACCTTGAAGGAGCTGGGGGTGGTGACGGCCGACAGGGAGCTCTGGCGTGGGCTGGTCCATGAGGTCACAAAGAGTCGGAGACGACTGAACGAATGAACAACAACATTCAATGGCCTGCTCCAACTCAACATGTCAAGTCTATAGGCTGAGTTGTTTTTGAATTTTTGTAGCGATCCCAGAATTCTGAGATATATATATGAGACTACCATTTGTATGAAATATTGCTTCTGTTTTCCCTTAACTGCAGCTTCTTCCCTGCCTCATAAAGGGTCTTTAAGGATACCCACATAAATCCCGGCCTGTTCCTTCCGTTGGGCGTGCGCCAACGCACCACCAAGGGCGACTCGTCCCCAAAGATGATTAAGTCATGAGATGCTGGAACAATCTGTTTTTGAAAAGGAAAGAGGAGACATCTTGAGGGTGACTGGAATAGGTTCCTCAGCAGCCCCCAATTCTTCCTCCTCTCTCTGGCACTTACTGCCACTGGATGGGAGAAGGCAACGGCCAACGAAGCGTCTTCTCGGTTCACGTAAACACAGCGAATTGTAGGTTCAGGGTCAGCTGTTGAAGAAGCAAGACAAAGAAAGAGGAATGCAAAATGGGTTGAAAGTACTGGGAAAGACTTGATGGTCCAAAGCCTGTTTGATTAGAGCTTGGAAAAGAGTTGTCTTTTGGGTGACAAATCCCAGCGTCCTTCAACAAGCATGCCAATCATGGCTATAAATTTATAAACAATGCCACTATCACATAAACTTTCTTGATGTTGAATGGCATGGATACGCAATATGCCCAAATGTGAACACCCGTGGAGTTTGGGGAAAATGTACCTTGACATTTGGGAGCTGTCAATGCTGGGATTTATAGTTCACCTACAATCAAAGAGCATTCTGAACTCCACCAATGATGGAATTGAAACAAACTTGGCACACAGAACTCCCATGGCCAACAGAAAATATAGGTAAGGTTTGGTGGGCATTGACCTTGAGTTTTGGAGTTGTAGTTCACCTACATCCAGAGGGCACTATGGACTCAAACAATGAAGGATCTGGATCAAACTTGGCACGGATACTCAATATGCCCAAATCTGAACACCGGTGGAGTTTGGGGAAAATGTACCTTGACATTTGGGAGTTGTGGGATTTATAGTTCACCTACAATCAAAGAGCATTCTGAACTCCACTAATGATGGAATTGAACTAAACTTGGCACACAGAACTCCCATGACCAACAAAAAATACAGGTAGGGTTTCATGGACATAGACCTTGAGTTTTGGAGTTGTAGTTCACCTACATTCAGAGGGCACTGAGAACTCAAACAATGAAGGATCTGGATCAAACTTGGCACAGATACTCAATATGTGCAAATGTGAACTCTGGTGGAGATTCGGGAAAATAGACTTGACATTTGGGAGTTGTAGTTGCTGGGATTTATAGTTCACCTACAATCAAAGAGCATTCTGAACTCCACCAATGTTGGAATTGAACCAAATTTGGCACACAAAACTCCCATGACCAATAGAAAATACAGGTAGGGTTTCGTAGACATTGACCTTGAATTTTGGAGTAGTAGTTCACCTACATTCAGAGGGCACTGTGGACTCAAATAATGAAGGATCTGGATCAAACTTGGGCACAGATACTCAATATGTGCAAATGTGAACTCTGGTGGAGATTCGGGAAAATAGAGTTGACATTTGGGAGTTGTAGTTGTTTGGATTTATAGTTCATCTACAATCAAAGAGCATTCTGAACCCCACCAGTGATAGATTTGGGCCAAATTTGCCACACAGAACCTCTATGACCAACAGAAAATACTGTGTTGTCTGATGGTCTTTGGTGACCCTTCTGACACCCTCTCGTGACCCCCCCCCCCCAGGGGTCCCGACCCCCAGGTTGAGAAATGCTGTTCTAGAAGCATTCTCTCCTGACATTTTGCCTGCATCTATGGCAAGCATCCTCAGAGGTTGTGAGGTCTATGAGGACCTCACAACCTCTGAGGATGCTTGCCATAGATGCAGACGAAACATCAGGAGAGAATGCTTCTAGAACATGACCATATAGCCCGAAAAACCTACAACAACCCAGTGATTCCAGCCATGAAAGCCTTCAACAATACATTGTTGTTGTTGTGGGAGTTGAAGTCCAAAACACTTGGAGGGCCCAAGTTTTCCTATGCCTGCACCAGTGTGTCCCGACACACCGTTTTGAAAGTTCTGCACTAGACAGTTATCTATGCTTGGCTATGAGGAGGACAACACTCCTAGGATCCATCTACCCGGTGTGATAGAACCACAACATTGCCAAATAAAGCACCTTGCTCCGTTCTTACCTCTACCCAGGAGCCAGCGGTGATAGAACCACGCACTCTGGTCATTCGGGTCAGTGAAGAAGGCATTCTGCACCAATTCTAGTTCTGGAAAGGAGAAGAGAAGAAGGGAAGGTGCTTCAACTTGGACTCTTTCAGCAGTTGCCAAAGATCCATTCACATTATGGGATTAGAATGCTACGATTCCATTTCCAGGGAAGCTCATTTAGAACTCTCAGCCAGAGAGCTCTAGTGGCTCAAAAACTACGAATCCCAGGATGCCGTAGGATGGAAACCACGGCCGTTGAAGTGGAATGACAACACGAAAATTCTGTAATGTGTGAGGGACTATAACTATAAAACGAACTAAAAGCTACTCTTGTAATGCAGAATGGGATCTTGGCCTGGATAAATAGGAATATAGTGTCTAAATTCAGGGAAGTCAGGCTATCCCTCTATTCTGCCTTGGTCAGATATACCTGGAATACTGTGTCCAATTCTTCTGGGGAGGCCCTGCTCTTAGCCCCGCCTCTGTCATAAACATGCCTGGCAGGGCGAGGGACAGGGCCTTCTTGGTGGTGGCCCCCCGCCTGTGGAATTCGTTCCCCGGGGAAATTAGGTCAGAAAAAATTTGAAAACTGGGATGTGGGACCAGGCCTTTGGGTGACTATACTGACAAGGATAATGACAATGAGGACAAATTATTATGACAATGGACTATGGACAAGCTTGATGGAGTCTCCGATCTCAGAATCTCGGTTAGATAAGGCCATATGGCTGTTATATTTAAGTATATTTTAATTGAATGGATTTAATATTTTAATTGTATGCAATTATTGGTTTTATTATGTATTGTTATGTACTCATGCAGGCTGGAAGCCGCCCTGAGACCCTCCCCCCCCCCGGGGGGGTTGAGAAGGGCGGGGTACAAATATTTGGAATAAATAAAAAAAAATTCTGGGCACCAGAATTGAAGGGAGATGTGGACAAGCTGGAATGTGTCCAGAGGAGGGCAACTTAAAGGATAAAGGGTCTGGAGAACAAACCCTATGAGGAGCGGCTTAAAGAGGTGGGCATGTTTACCCTGAAGAAGAGAAGGCTGAGAGGAGACATGATGATGCCATGTATAAATATGTGAGAGGAAGTCATAGGGAGGAGGAAGCAAGCTTGTTTTCTGCTTCCCTGGAGACTAGGACGCAATGGAACAATGGCTTCAAACTACAGGAAAGGAGATTCCACCTGAACATGAGGAAGAACTTTTTGATTGTGAGAGCTGTTCAGCAGTGGAACTCTCTGCCTCGGAGTGTAGTAGAGCCTCCTTCTTTGGAGGCTTTGAAACAGAAGCTGGGTGGGCATCTGTCAGGAATGCTTTGAATGTGATTTTCCTGCTTCTTAGCAGAATGGGGTTGGACTGGATGGTCCACGAGGTCTCTTCCAACTCTAAGATTCTATGATTCGATGAATGAGCCAGGTGAAGCAGAGGCTGGATGGCCATCTGCTGGGTTGTGTTTATTGTTCTTTTCCTGCTTGACAGAGAGTTGGACTGGATTGTTTTTAAAATCTTTTAAAACTCTGTGATTTTATGATCTCTACATTATAATTAAAATAAAATGTAGTTAGACCTAAATGAATTTATTGCTTGTAACTAGTTATTTGTAACTAGTTACTTCCAAGTTCATACATCTTGCAAGTGATTTTGAGGCTGCAGAATATAGAGGATTTTTCTTAAAAGCAAAGAGGAAAGACTTTTGTGACTCCGTGTTTGTTTTAGGGATTGTGGTTTGTGGTTGAGTGACACTGCGATCTAGATAAACCTTAGGATTAGTTCTCTTTCTAGCAAAGAACATAAGTGGAAATTCAAATGCCTGCAATAAAATACTTTCCCCTCAACTGGGATATTTTAAGAAATGCTCCAGTTGCATCCAAGTGTAATGAAATGTGAAATCGCTGCCACTTGACATAGAGACTTGAGTCACCAGCATTCTTAAGTGTTACGTTTTGGAGCATTTTGGTCCAAGTTTTTGAGGTTTGTACCTCCAGTTTGGCACTTAGAAGCAGAAGCTGCGATGGAGAACTACACATCCCAGGAAATGCTGAGAGAGAATACATTTTGTTGGACTTGGATAAATGAAAACATTAGTATATAGGGTGTACAGTGCTACGCTAATAACATAATACAATATATTGTGTATAAATATAATATTTATAATATTATCATGTACTGTATATACTCGAGTATAAGCCTAGTTTTTCAGCCCCCTTTTTAGGCTGAAAAAAATCCCCTCGGCTTATACTTGAGTCAAGGTTATTTATTATTTTACTCTGCTATTCGTATTATTTTTATTACATTTACTAGCCATCCCCTGCCACATGTTGCTGTGGCCAATTGTGTGTATATATGGTTTTGTGTGTGTGTATATATATTTGTGTATATGTTTATATGTGTGTTTGCGTATGTATATATATGTGTGTGTGTGTGTGTGGTTTTGTGCTTGCCACACGTTGCTGAGCCCCAGTCTGTGTATATGTGTTTTGTGTGTATGTGTGTGTATATGTGTTTTGTGTGTATGTGTGTGTATATATTTGTGTTTATGTGTATATATGTGGTTTTGCACATGCATTATAATGTGTGGCCCAGTCTGTGTATATGTGTGTGTATATATATTTGTAATATCTTTGTTTGCATATATATGTGTGTGTGTGTGGTTTTGCGCCTGCCACACGTTGCTGTGGCCCAGTCTGTGTAAATGTGTTGTGTGTGTGTATTTGTGTTTATGTGTATATATGTGGTTTTGCACATGCATTATAATGTGTGGCCCAGTCTGTGTATATGTGTTTTGTGTGTGTATATATTTGGGTATATATGTGTTTGTGTATATGTATGTTGTTTTGCGCCTGCGTTGTAATGTATTTTTTGTTTTTTGGCTTTTAAAGTCCCTTCCGCTGTGTTTTTCTGTGTTTTTATGAGTGATGGTCACTCGTTGGCTTGATAGGTGTTTTGTGTCCAAGTTTGGTGTCAATTCGCTCAGTGGTTTTTGAGTTATGTTAATCCCACAAACAAACATTACATTTTGATTTATATAGATTATTTTACTCTATTATTATTATTATTATTATTATTACATTTATATTATTTTACTCGACTATTGCTTCTATTGCATTTATTATTTTACTCTATTATTATTATTACATTTATTACATTTATTATTAGTATTACTATTATTATTAAATTTCCATTATTTACTCTATTATTATTTTATTACATGTTATTACATTAATTATTTTATTCTATCCTTATAGGTAATAGGTAAGCACATTTACATGGAAGGAGGTTAGAATAATGGTTGAATCAGAGTTGGGCAGACTTCTCTTAAATTATAGTTTTGTGTAAATACTCAAAAACATTTAACCTACTGACAATTGCCAGTAGCAACTACATTTCTCACCCTCAGCTTATACTCGAGTCAATACACTTTTTCAGTTTTTTGTGGTAAAATTAGGTCCCTCGGCTTATATTTGGGTCGGCTTATACTCGAGTATATACGGTAATACAATACCAATAATAATAATATGAGATTATAATTATATATTTTATATTACATGTAATATTACTAATAATATTACCGTATAATGGTATAGTACAACATAGTAATATATAATACTGATATGGTGCTAGGCTAATAATATTGTATGTATATATATCTTGAAAGCCCTTCTGAGTCCCCTTTGGGGTGATAAGGGTGGCATATAAATGTCGTAAATAAATAAATATATTAATTAGAGGTATTTGTCCGATCACTGTCTTTTCGACCATGAAAGATAAACAGATGAACAAATAATGATTCAGGCCAGGGAAGTGTCTCCCTTCCGTTGTGCTATGACTTTCTTCCCTTCGTCTGGACCCTTCCCTTCTCAGCAACAGGGCACTACCTTTCAAGGTGAGCTTACCTTGCCTTAGGTTCTCACGCCCCAGATTCCTGTCCCTTCTACGGGACAGCGGCTAAGTGCCAAACAAAGAAGCCAGCAGACGGAGGAGTAGCACTTGCCCTGCCCAAGCGCCCGCCCGTCTTAATCCCCTTGGAATTTCACCTGTCTCAGGTGAGGGGCTGGGTACCTGGGCAGGTAACGCTGTGTACACTTTTACTCACAGCCCTGCTATTTGTCTTCCTGCATCTCTTCTCTCCGGCCTTTTGCACCTAAGATTGGCTGCTGTGATTCACAATCTTTCCCCCGCACACACCCAAATGGTGGAGCTGAAAAGGGAGAGGCTGGTGACCATTTCCAACTTTCCTGCAGCTCAGAAGACAGATATCTGTACTGACCATTTAATGCAGTTTCAAACCGCTTTTCCTGTGCAGATCATTACACTATGTAACAAAATTTGCAAAAAAACTGTTCCTGGTTTCAAAGTGTTAGGGGGCTGCAGTGGCGCAACGGGTTAAACTGTTGAGCTGCTGAACATGCTGACTTGAAGGTCAGCAGGTTGAATCCGTGGGAGGGAGTGAGCTCCTGCTATTAGTCCCAGCTCCTGCCAACCTAGCAGTTCAAAAACATGCAAATGTGCGTAGATGAATAAATATCACCTCGGCAGGAAGGTAGAACGCATAGTCCACGCTCTGGTTACATCCCGTATAGACTACTGCAATGCGCTCTACGTGGGGTTGCCTTTGAAGACTGTCCAGAAGCTTCAAATGGTCCAACAGACGGCAGCCAGATTACTAACAGGAGTGGCGCTCAGGAAGCATACAACTCCTCTGTTGCACCAGCTCAACTGGCTGCCAGTTTGCTACCGGGCACAATTCAAAGTGCTGGCTTTAGCCTATAAAGCCTAATTTTATTTTTTTATTTATTTTTTTATTTACAGCTTTTATATTCCGCCCTTCTCACCCCGCAGGGGACTCAGGGCGGATTACAGTGTACACATATATGGCAAACATTCAATGCCAATTTTTGACATACAAACATATACAGACATACACAGAGGCTATTTAACTTTTTTTTCTGGCCGCCAGGGGAGCTGTCGCTTTCATTGTCCATCTGCAACGCTGATGAAGCACTTCTGCATTCCTCGCATACTTCTGCCCTGGAATGCTTTGCTGGAGTCTTCTTTATGGCCTCATAAATCAGTTAATTTAGCCTCCCCACACTTTAAGGTGGTCCCTTATTTTCCTACTTGACAGATGCAACTGTCTTTTGGGTTGCAAAGGTCGACAACAGGCTACACACAATTGGTTGGAAACCCACTCCAACCCGGGCTGGCTTCGAACTCATGACCTTGTTGGTCAGAGTGATCTTAATGCAGCTGACACTCAGCCAGCTGCGCCACAACCCCGGTGCACCAGTGCAACAGTTATGGCCCAACTTACTTGTCCGAACACATGTCCCCTTATGAACCATCCAGGACTTTAAGATTGTCTGGGGAGGCCCTGCGTCACAAACTTGTTTGGTAGGGACGACAGACAGGGCCTTCTCAGTGGTGGCCCCTCGGCAACCTGAAAGACACTGTTTTCCCAGTTTTTTGTGGTAAAATTAGGTGTCTCGGCTTATATTCGGGTTGGCTTATACTCGAGTATATACAGTATATGCACAGGCAAACATTCAGTGCCTTGGAACACAATGAGCACCACGCCTCCGTTTCTCCCCCCATTCGCTGTGCATGTGCCCTCTGCTCTCCGCATAGCAACCCAACTGGGTTGCTGTTTGGAGAGCAAGACAGGCTGCGCACAGGGTGAATGGGGGAGAAACAGAGACGTGCACCTCCCTTCCTGCACACCTCCATTTCTTCCCCATTCAACGCGCATGCAGCCTCTCTTCTGCTTGTCTTGCTGTCTTCTTAGCAAGACAAGCAGGAAGAGAGGCTGCATGCACGTTGAATGGGGAAGAAATGGAGGCATGCAGGAAATGAGGTGCACTCCTCTGTTTCTCCCCCATTCACCCTGTGGGTTCACCAGCTGGGTTGCTATGCGGAGAGCAGAGGGCATGTGCATGGCGAATGGGGGAAGAAATGGAGGTGTGCACCTCTCTCCCTGCTTGTCTTGCTGCATTTCTTCCCCATTCAACGCGCATGCAGCCTCTCTTCCTTCCGCGCACACAGCAAGACAAGCAGGAAGAGAGGCTGCATGCACGCTGAATGGGGAAGAAATGGAGGCATGCGTGCGTGCGTGGCAAGACGTGCAGGGAGGGAGGTGCACGCCTCCGTTTCCCCTTCACTTGCCCCGTGCGCAGCTTCTCCGCAGACTCGGCTTATATTTGAGTATATACGGTATATATGCTGGAATGCACTCTGTGTCCTCTCAGGGAGATAAGGTAGAATACAAATAAAGTGTTGTTGTTGTTGTTATACTATTGTGCACCTCTTACTTTGGAAGTAGTTGTTATACTCCAGAAACTTTGTTTTTGTGGCTGCCACAATCTATGTTGAATTGGTTGAGACTCAACAAGATATTCATTGAAGAACTATGGCAAAATGGGCTGCAGGATGTCCCACAGAAACAAAGTTTTGCAGTTTAATAAAGTTTTTTTTTCATGTTTTAATGATAGAACCAATTAGGAAATGACATTTATAACCCAGGAACAAAAAATGTAGATGTAGCCTGTTTCCCAGATCACTTACCTTTCAGTAAGATTTCCTCTGTGATCCGGCCCTGCTGCTGGGAGTCAGGGTAAAGCTGTGGAAGGAGGCGGCTGCGGTAATGCCAAGAGGAGTAGTTTGAGAAATTGCGGGTGATGAGGCTGTCGCTAAAGGCCAGTTCGTCCTGCGGAGGCACCTCTGAATGCTGCACCACAAAGCGCCGGTAGTCCCAACAGTGAACTGCAGGGGGAAGCAAAGAGCAATACGAATGTGGAGGGCAAAGGTCATGCCTGCCAACTTGTCAACACCATCTAGGTGGGCCAATTAGGTTCTTGGAATTCCACACTTTGGATCCACCAGCAAATAGGTTGTTGTGGGTTTTTTGGACTGTATGGTCATATTCTAGAAGCATTCTCTCCTGACGTTTTGCCTGCATCTATGGCAGGCATCCTCAGAGATTGTGAATACTTGCTAATTATTACTACCTTTAGAATTGTGGATTTTAAATTGCATTGTCGTTTAATGTTGTGAGCTGCTGTGTGCCCCAACCAAGAGAGAAAAGTGGGATATAAATATAAAATAATAATAATAATAATAATAATAATAATAATAAGGCATATGAATGGACTTATGGATTTTAGAACTCGGTGAACGTTGGCCACTAGACTGGCTTTTAGTTGTTATTGTATTAATTGAATGTTTTAACTATTGTGGTTATTGCTGTTATGTATTTTATCTGTTGAATTGTTGGCATCAATTTGTGCCGGTTGTAAGCCACCCTGAGTCCCGTCCCCCCCCCGGGGGCTGAGAAGGGCGGGGTAGAAGCGCCCGAAATAAATAAATAAATAAATAAATAAGCCAGTAAAGGTGGTCCCAGTGGTGATTGGCACACTGGGTGCAGTACCTAAAGACCTTGGCCTGCACTTAAACACAATCAGCGCTGACAAAATCACCACCTGCCAGCTGCAAAAGGCCACTTTACTGGGATCTGCATGCATTATTTGCCGATACATCACACAGTACTAGACACTTGGGAAGTGTCCGACGTGTGATCCATTACAACAGCCAGCAGAGTGATCTTGTCTGCTGTGGACTCATCTTGTTGTGTTTCAAATAATAATAATAATAATAATAATAATAATAATAATAATACCCACATATCCACAAGGGATATGTTCCAGAACTTTGTTGTAAATACTTGAAACCATGACAAATCATGAACCATATTCACAAACAACTTCAAGCAGAATACACCATAGGGCTGTGTTGAAGGATCCAGGCAATGGCTACAGATAATATTCTCTAATAATAATAATAATAATAATAATAATAATAATAATAATAGGCCAGGATCGAAAAATCAGCTGATGACCCAAAATGCAGACTGTGCAAGGAAGCTGATGAAACCTCAGCTGTTGCAAGAAAATCGCACAGACGGATTACAAACAAAGGCACAACTCTGTGGCCCAAAGGATTAACTAGAACTTATGTCACAAGTACCACCTGCCAGCAGTAAAGCATTGGTGGGATCGTAAACTCGCAAATGTCATGGAAAACGAACATGCAAAAATACTGTGGGACTTTCGAATCCAGACTGACAAAGTTTTGGAACACAATACACCAAACATCACGATTATGGAAAAGAAAAAAGTTTGGATTATTGATTTCGCCATTTCCAGGTGACAGTTGCATTGAGGAAAACAAACAGGAAAAACTCAGCCGTTATCAAGACCTCAAAATCGAACTGCAAAGGCTCTGGCATAAACCAGTCCAGGTGGTCCCAGTGGTAATGGGCACACTGGGTGCCGTGCCAAAAGATCTCAGCCGGCATTTGGAAGCAATAAACATTGACAAAATCATGATCTGTCAACTGCAGAAGGCCACCTGACTTGGATCTGCATGCATCATTCAAAAATACATCACACGGTCCTAGACGCTTGGGAAGTGTTCAACTTGTGATTCTGTGATACAAAATCCAGCATATAGATCTCGTTTGCTGTGACATACTGTGCTTTTGTGTCAGTAAAATAATAATAATAACTTTATTTCTTGCCTGGATTCCTTGTGATTTGAGGTGTGTTACAACATAGCTAAAAACAATGCAATTTATAATCGCATCACTAGGCCCTTCAACACAACTCCATGGTCAATTTTCTGACCTCCTAACCACAATTATTTTAAAAGACAATTAGGCAAATTTGTAAGGAGCTGTTGCCTTTAGGACCTACTTATGATAGAATCATAGAATCAAAGAGTTGGAAGAGACCTCTTGGGCCATCCAGTCCAACCCCATTCTGCCAAGAAGCAGGAATATTGCATTCAAATCACCCCTGACAAATGGCCATCCAGCCTCTGTTTAAAAGCTTCCAAAGAAGGAGCCTCCACCACTCTCCGGGGCAGAGAGTTCCAGATGGTCCGCCATCTGGGAAACGGATGTTTATTGTGGCATAGCAGTGTTTCTCTTTGGTTATACAACATCAGCATAAATGGAGGAAGTGAGAATCATTTCTCTTTGCTTTGTAGCTCTGTGTTGGAACTACAAATCTGAAAGCAGGAGGTTTCTGGCTCGGTCCTGGCCATTTCCAAGGACTGAGATAACAAGGACTGAGCCTTGAAACCTTGGAGAGGTTGCAGTGGTTAGTATGACTATCTTTCCACCAAACTGAATATGAATGGACACAGGATGCATCTATACTAGGCATGGGCAAGCTTGGGCCCTCCAGGTGTTTTGGACTTCAACTCCCACAATTCCTAAGAGCCTACCGGCTCTTAGGAATTGTGGGAGTTGAAGTCCAAAACACCTGGAGGTTCCAAGTTTGCCCATTCCTAGTTGACAAGGATAGCAAGAAGGAAATACATACAGTTGCGTTCATCAACCTCCAGGAACTTGCCACACAGCTCCAGCTCACGGTCCCAGTCCGGCTCTGGGGTGTGCTCCATCACCCAGCAGCGATGATGCCACGTCCCATAGGATTTGGGGTTCACACGCAGGCAAGACTCCAGAAAGGAGAGTTCTGCCTTACACAGGGTTTGCATCTCTTCTGGGGATCTGTTGGCCCAGAGAAGATGGAGGAGTGAAGAAGACAGGGATAATTTCATCTATGTAGTGTCCGGCCAGCCTCACAATCTACTCCCTTCCTCTTGGGCTCCCCCATTACTTACTCTTCCTGAAAGTGAAGGAATATCTCTCGCCGGAAGTTCCAGAGGGTGGCAAAATCGGGATTGGCGGCCAAGACCTGGCTGCTTAGATCCAAGGCTTCCTTGTCCAGTTGACCCAGTTTCCTCTGAAAGAGGCATGTTAATTATAATAATATAATGTAATGCAATATAATAATAGTAATAATAATATTATAATTATATATTTATACTACACATAATATTACTAATACTATTACGATATAGTGGTATGGTGCAATATAGCAATGTTTAATGCTGATATTGTACTATGCTAATATAATAATAATAATAATAATAATAATAATAATAATAATAATACTTTATTTATACCCCGCTACCATCTCCCAAGGGACTCGGTGTGGCTTACATGAGGCCGAGCCCACAACACATCAATCACAAAGCAATAACAACAAATAATACAAAACAATAAAATAAAACTCATAACAAAAAAGCAATAAACATTAACAATAACACAGCGACAGTTAAAACCTATAGTTGTATGTAATATATACCTTGTAAGCCGCTCTGAGTCCCCTTCGGGGTGAGAAGGGTGGCATATAAATGTCGTAAATAAATAAATAAATAATAAATAAATTAACATTATGTAAGTCTTTGTAGGAGAAAGAGACAATCCAACTCCACACTTATGGGGTGTTGTGTGGTTTTCCAGCCGAAACCACACAACACCCCATTCAGAGGATCTCAGAAAATGACAGTCACAGATGAAGGCAAAATGTCAGGAGAAAATGCTACTAGAACACAGACATACAGCCAGAAACCACACAACATCCTAGTGATTCCAGCCATGAAAGCCTTCGACAATACATCCACACCTATGTCCCACATTACTCTATACTTCCCCAAGTGAGGAAGGATTGAATCCTTTATTACATAACCAGACTACGGTTAAGAAGAGTAGTTAGGAAAGTGGTATTTGACAAGTCCATCCAGTTAGGAAAAGGCCAAACCCAATAGTCACAGTCAAAAGTTCAAGCTGGTCATTCCACAGATATAAAAACCCATTTTCCTAGTTCCAACAGACCTCGCTACCTGTGATGATGCTTGCCATAGATGCAGGTGAAACGTCAGGAGAGAATGCCTCTAGAACATGGCCATATAGCCCAAAAAACCTACAACAACCCAGTGATTCCGGCCATGAAAGCCTTCGACAATACAAAAGTTCAAGCTGTTAGTACATACCTGCCAAACATAAGAATCAAAGTATCCATTGAAAGTCTAATGGTCAAAGGCCAAAGTTGCCACCCAAAGGCTAAAGATCCATGACACCATACATAAGTCAGGTATTAATATTTCAATATGTTTCAACTAAACACTTTTTACTCTGCTTTCAGAAATTACTTTTAGGTGGTGTTGGCTCATTTACATAACCTCTGTAAAGTCAAGCAACCCATAGTAACCCTCAAGATCTAAAAGGTCAACCTTTTGGGAATCAAAGTTCAATCACACCATTAACCACATTCTTCCTTTGACATGTCAAAATCAAGGGATTTTCTTCTCCCTTTTGGAAAAAGAACAGAAAACTAAGGCCCCTCCTATGCTGCCATATAATCCAGATTATCAAAGCACATAATCCACATTATCTGCTTTGAACTGGATTATAGGAGTCTACACTGATATATAATCTAGTTCAAAGCAAATAATCTGGATTTTATATGGCAGTGTAGAATAGGCCCAAGAGGTCAATTTGAGCATCTTTTATGGTGATGGATTAAAAGCCTATTTTTCTAGGTTTCAGACCCAAGGAACAATGCACTAACTACACATGGCATTCATCTGGAATGGAAAGGGTCCTGGGACCAAACTACCCAATGTCTTCACCTTTTCATTCATCTAGAGCAGTGGTTCTCAACCTTCCTAAGGCCATGACCCCTTAATCCAGTTTCTCATGTTGTGGTGACCCCCAACCATAACATTATTTTCTTTGCTACTTCACAACTGTAATTTTGCTGCTGTTATGAATCATCTTGTAAATATCTGATATGCAGGATGTATTTTCATTCATTTGGAACAAATACTCGATACACCCAAATTTGAATACTGGTGGGGTTGAGGGGAGGATTGATTCTGTCATTTGGGAGTTGCAGTTGCTGGGATTTATAGTTCACCTACAATATCAAAGGGCATTCTGAACTCCACCAACAATGGAATTGAACCAAATGTGGGACACAGAGCTCCCATGACCAACAGAAAATACTAGAAGGGCTTGGTGGGCAGTGACCTTGGGTTTTGGAGTTGTAGTTCACTTACATCCAAATGCATCTGGACCAAACTTGGCATGAATACTCAATATGCCCAAATGTGGACACTGGTGGGTTTTGGGGAAAATAGACATTTGGGAGTTGTACTTACTGGGATTTATAGTTCATCTATAATCAAAGAGCATTGTGAACTCCACCAATGACAGAATTGGGCCAAACTTCCCACACGGAACCCCCATGGCCATCATAAAACACTGTGTTTTCTAATTGTCTTTGGCGACACCTCTGACACCCCCTCGCGACCTCCCCAGGGGTCCTGACCCCCAGGTTAAGAAACACTGATCTAGAGAGCAGAGCACGAGATATTGAAGCTGAAAGTCAGGAGGCCAAAAAGTATTACAAAGGTCAACCATAAACAGAAGCCAAGAGTCACGCTAAAGATCTTCCTGACCAATTAGGGATACAAAATTCAAATGAAGCTATTTCAGCATCCTTCAGTCTCCAAAAGCTAAACTATGGAGAAAAACCATAGAAGGAGTTCCTTTTCTTTCTTCCCCAGCCCTGTCCGGTCTTTTTCACCTTCTCAAAGATGGCTTTGGTGGCAGTCACATATTGGTGCAGCTTCTTCTCCCGTTCCAGACGCTTGGCTTCAGCCTGCTCCTCGGTTGTCTTTACCTTCAACCGACCATGCTGTTGGGAGGGGAGATTATGAGAGAAAGACCATAAAAGAAATATGAGATCATTGTGTCCCAATCAAGAGTGCAATAAAAGTGGGATGATATTATTATTATTATTATTATTATTATTATTAAAATATAATTCATGATAGGAGAACTTCTCTCTTTCAAATACTACTCTGGAAGAGACATGGTTGTAAAAACATTGGGTAAGAAAGAGCAAATAAGCCAATTCAAACTGCTTACTGTATTATATATGTGTGTATTGGTGTGCAGTTTTCCTTAACTCTATGTTGTGGGAAGCGCTGCCGATCATGTGATCAGATCTGGGCTTGTTCAGGACTCAGACTCCATTTTTAGAAACGGTATGCTTTTAAAAGTCACTAGAAACAATATGCTTAGAGACTTCAGCCGAAACGGATGTAGGCTTTCTGACACAAATAGAGATAAACTCCTTTGGACTTTCAGACTAGACAGACACTCTATTAGACTTTCAGAATAGAGAGATGCTTTGGACTCTGGACTGTTGATTATAAGAAATTATGTCCTGTGTTACCTACAGAGAGAAACCCACTTCCAATCCTATCTGTAATGGGATTGATATGCAAAGTACCTGTATGCTGAATACATGAAGTTTGTGAGTAAAGCAGCCATGTTACTTTTAAAGAAATCTGCTTATTTTTGTCTCTTGAGAGCACGATTTAAAGGCAAATATATTTTAAGGGAGATGTTTTTTGGGCAACTGAAAAAACACTTCTGAAACTCTGCTATATATGTGTGTGTTTGTGCGCGCGCGTGCACTTTTTGTGCATTGGCATATCTTTCTCCTGAACAGTTCAAAGAGATATATAGGTATATCAGTTTAACAACTGAGAAACCTAATTGCCTTGCATGAATGCCATAAAGGTTAAAGATAAAGGTTTCCCCTGACATTAAGTCCAGTTGTGTCCAACTCTTGGGGTTGGTGTTCACCCCCATTTCTAAGTCGAAGAGCCGGCATTGTCCATAGACACCTCCAAGGTCATGTGGCCGGCATGACTGCATGGAGTGCTGTTACCTTCCCACTGGAGCGGTACTTATTAATCTACTCACATTTGCATGTTTTCAAATTGCTAGGTTGGCAGAAGCTGGGCCTAACAGCAGGAGCTCACAACGCTCCTTGGATTCAAACCTGCGACTTTTTGATCAGCAAGATTAGCAGCTCAGCAGTTTAACCCACTGCGCCACTGGGGGCTCTCTAAAGGTTATGGCATCATTTTTCAAAAGGTTGTGACTTCTAACAAGGTTTTGCTTTTCCAAAGATCATACAATCCCCTAGAGGTTATGGAGATTTCCATTTTCCTACAGAATAAGCTATGAAAAGATGAGATAGATCAGAAAGGGCAGCTGCCCAACTCACCATGTTGACCGCACAGCAAAAACAGCTCTAGAGAGGGAAGCGAGGAATGAATTATGTATCCTAAAATATAAAAAAAAAATCAGGTGAACATGGAGGGAGATTGTTTAGAAACTATTTAATTGTATAAAGGATATTTAATAGAATGCCAAGTTTGCAAACTTTGTGGATTTTTTAAAATACAACTGTTTGGTTCACTCTTGACACGATAAATAAATAAATAAATATCGTATAATACCAGGGACATCCCCATGTTGGGAAAAACAACTGCCCTTTAAGACCAGAGGGTCTATTGCCAGCTTTGGGCAGCAATTCTCTGCCACATGCAGCACAGCCAATGGTCAGCGTTTCAGGACCTGCCTATCTGCGTGACTGTATCCTCCCCTATGAGTCCACACGATCCTTAAGATCCTCCGGGGGTGCTCTTCTCTCGCTCCCACCCCCGTCTCAGGCATGGTTGGTGGGGACGAGAGAGAGGGCATTCTTGGTGGTGGCCCCTCGTCTCTGGAGGGTGCCAGCCTGATTTCCCTGGGGAGGGAATCAGGCTGGCACCCTCCCTACCCACATTCGGTAAGGAATTAAAGACGTGGCTGTTTTGTTGTGCATTTGACTGACGACTCCTATGACAAATGATTATATCATGACCTGATTCTGAATTCCTATATTACATTACTATATATATGTTAAAATTAAGCTGAATTGATCCTGTTTAATTGCTCTGTTTCCATGCTATTTCCTATGCTATTATACGTTTCTATTCACCTATTATATGTTTCTATCCACTTAGCCACGGTTGTCCACACTCGTTGCAACTAGGATAGACTACTGCAATGCACTCTACGTGGGGTTGCCTTTGAAGACTGCTCGGAAGCTTCAAATAGTCCAACGAGAGGCAGCCAGGTTAATAACTGGGGCGGCATACAGGAAGTATACAACTCCCATGTTACGCCAGCTCCACTGGCTGCCTGTTTGCTACCGGGCACAATTCAAAGTGCTGGCTTTGGCCTATAAAGCCCTAAATGGCCCCGGCCCAAATTACCTGTCCGAACGCATCTACCCCTATGAACCATCGCAGAGATTAAGATCCTCTGGGGAGGCCCTGCTTTCCGTCCCATCATTGTCACAGGCGCAATTGGTGGGGACAAGAGACAGGGCCTTCTCGGTGATTGCTCCCCAGCTATGGAACTCCCTTCCTGGTGAGATCAGATCGGCCCCCTCCCTCCTGTCCTAGAAGGATGGTAAAAACTTGGCTTTTGGACCAAGCTTTCAGTACAGGGCAATAAAGCAGCAATATTTACTTATTTATTTATTTCATATATTTATATCTTGCCCTTTTAACTGTTTTATAATTGCTTTTGATACATGTTTTATTTTATTGTTGTTGTTGGCATCGAATTGTGCCTTTTGTAAGCCGCCCTGAGTCCCCCCTCGGGGGTTGAGAAGGGCGGGGTAGAAATGCACGAAATAAATAAATAAATAAATATTCTCCCCACAAGGGAGACTCAGCGCGGCTTCACATGAGCATCAGAGGATGCTAAAAGCATAAATACCATAAAAATTACAATTCAATATAAAATCATTTAAAAACATTGTACAACATCAGTAAGATTTAACAATAAATTAATAGATTAACGTGCCAGTAAAACCAAGTCAAGCCGGGAGAATCCATGTCGCAAAATCCAAATTTTCTTTTCCTATTGCCGCTGGGCTCTAATCGAACGCCTGGCCCCAGAGCCAGGTCTTCAGTTGTCTTCTAAAGGACAGGAGGGAGGTGGCTAACCTGATATCCTTAGGGAGAGAGTTCCACAGATGGGGGGCCACTGCCGAGAAGGCCCCGTCTCTCGTCCCTACCAACTGCGTTTGCAAGAGTGGTGGGATCGAGAGCAGGGCCTCACCTGATGAGCTTAATAGGAAAGATTACCAGGCCAATTAAATTTGACGCTGATGACCAGGACGATTTTAAATGGCGTATTTTAATATTGAGATAAATGTTTTTAATGTTAATGTTTGCGTATATGAATTTGTGTCCCGGCATTGAATGTTTGCCGTATAAGGACATCAGACAAGCCCCTACACTGGCAGTCTTTAGGTAAGAGCTTGAAGACCTGGCTGTTCCGGTGTCCCTTTCCAGAATAGGAAACTCCAGCAATATGTCCCAGAAGCACTTTATCAGAGAGTTAAGATTGTCTGCACATTCCACTTACCCTAAAATCCTACATGTTACCTGTCATATTCAGCACCTTTTTAATCTGTACCCATTACAGTTGGCCCGGCCCTAGTTTTTAATTGTGTTATGGTGTATTGTTTATCTTCTATTGCTTGATGTTTTTGATTTGCTTTATAATGTTATGTGTATTGTTATGTTGTTGTTTTTGAGTCCTCGGCCCATGTAAGCCGCATCGAGTCCTTCGGAAGATGCTAGCGGGGTACAAATAAAGTTAATAATAATAATAATAATAATAATAATAATAATAATAATAATATATGCCCCACCCTGAGTCCCCTTCTGGGTGAGAAGGGCGGAATATAAATATTTAAAATAAATAAATAAATTGAAGTATCTTATCCTTTAACCAGTTCGCATAGTGGTCCTCCTTCCCCCCCTCCTCCAAAATTAGTCTGCTGTTGTTTTTGATGCTTGTTTATTAGTATTATTATTGTTGTTGTTGTTCATTCGTTCAGTCGGTTTTTGAGTTATGTTAATCCTACAAACAAACATTACATGTTTATTTATATAGAATATTATATTATATTATGTTGTTGTTCATTCGTTCAGTCGTCTCCGACTCTTCGTGACCTCATGGACCAGCCCACGCCAGAGCTCCCTGTCGGCCGTCACCACCCCCAGCTCCTTCAAGGTCAGTCCAGTCACTTCAAGGATGCCATCCATCCATCTTGCCCTTGGTCGGCCCCTCTTCCTTTTGCCTTCCACTTTCCCAAGCATAATTGTCTTCTCTAGGCTTTGCTGTCTCCTCATGATGTGGCCAAAGTACTTCAACTTTGTCTCTAGTATCTTCCCTCCAATGAGCAGTCGGGCTTTATTTCCTGGAGGATGGACTGGTTGGATCTTCTCGCAGTCCAAGGCACTCTCAGCACTTTCCTCCAACACCACAGTTCAAAAGCATCGATCTTCCTTCGCTCAGCCTTCCCTAAGGTCCAGCTCTCACATCCGTAGGTGACTACAGGGAATACCATGGCTTTGACTAGGCGGATCTTTGTTGCCAGTCTGATGTCTCTACTCTTTACTATTTTATCGAGACTGGACATTGCTCTCCTCCCAAAGAAGGAAGCGTCTTCTGATTTCCTGGCCACAGTCTGCATCTGCAGTCATCTTTGCGCCTAGAAATACAAAGTCTGTCACGGCCTCCACGTTTTCTCCCTCTATTTTCCAGTTGTCAATCATTCTTGTTGCCATAATCTTGGTTTTTTTTGTTTAGCTGCAACCCGGCTTTTGCGCTTTCTTCTTTCGCCTTGATTAGAAGGCTCCTCAGCTCCTCCTCGCTTTCGGCCATCAGAGTGGTGTCATCTGCATATCTGAGGTTGTTAATGTTTCTTCCAGCAATTTTCACCCCAGCTTTGCATTCATCCAGCCCCGCACATCCTCGCATGATGTGTTCTGCATACAAGTTAAAAAGGTTGGGTGAGAGTATGCAGCCTTGCCGGACGCCTTTCCCAATCTTGAACCAGTCTGTTGTTCCGTGGTCAGTTCTGACTGTTGCTACTTGGTCCTTGTACAGATTCCTCAGGAGAGAGACAAGGTGGCTTGGGATGCCCATCCCACTAAGAACTTGCCACAATTTATTATGATCCACACAGTCAAAGGCTTTAGAATAGTCAATGAAGCAGAAGTAGATGTTTTTCTGAAACTCCCTGCCTTTCTCCATTCTCCAGCATCCGGATATTGGCAATCTGGTCTCTCGTTCCTCTGCCTTTTCTAAACCCAGCTTGAACATCTGGCAACTCTCGCTCCATGTATTGCTGGAGTCTTCCTTGCAGGATCTTGAGCATTACCTTCCTGGCATGAGAAATAAGGGCCACTGTACGGAAGTTGGAGCAGTCTTTCGCATTTCCCTTTTTTGGTATGGGGATATAAGTTGATTTTTTCCAGTCTGATGGCCATTCTTGTGTTTTCCATATTTGCTGGCATATGGCATGCATCACCTTGACAGCATCACCTTTTAAGATTTTAAACAGTTCAGCTGGGATCCCGTCGTCTCCTGCTGCCTTGTTGTTAGCAATGCTTCTTAAGGCCCATTCAACCTCACTCCTCAGGATGTCTGGTTCTAATTCATTCACCACACCTTCAAAACTATCCTCGATATTATTATCTTTTCTTATACAGATCTTCTGTATAGTCTCGCCACCTTCTCTTGCTATAGAGATCCGCAAACCACCTTGCTTTTCCTCTCCATAGACTTCTACCCTCTTGAAATAAATGCTATATTTATTATTTGAGAGCAGCTCCCAGTCTTCCCAGGAAAACCAGGTCAGCCACCCACGTGGTTACACCTTCCTCATTCAAACACCCCATTGAATTGTGGGATTGGGCCAAAGTGGCCACCTTTCGGGCAAGGATTTCTCCCCAGGTAAACAGTGAGAGGGGTTCCTGCACATCTGTCTCTCCAATCACATTTTCCTAGCACATTTCCCCCATTCCATATATACAAACCCAGCCTATTTCCTTCTTCCTCTTTCTCCCCCCTCTTTCTAGTGACAAAGTGGTGCCTTCCATGACAATCTGGCGAGGCTCCCATGGGGCGAGACCATCCCAAAGCAGCCCATGGGGGTGGGATGGGGGGGGGGAAGCAGGGTAAAGCCTCTGCTGGGCTAATCTAAAGAGCCTCTAGGGGGCGATACCAACCAGTCTGGAGAGGAGGAGGGAGGGATGCGCGGAGGATGCAGCGCCGCCGTAAACCAAGTGGTCTCGTCCGCAGCGGGTCTGTGAAGGAAGGGTGGGCGCCTATGGGCGATACCACTTGAGGCTCTGCATGGGGGGGTGTCTGCGCGAAATGTTTCGGAAATGGTAGCGACTATGCCGCACGCGGAAGCGTCGAGTTGGAGCCTTCAGTTCTTAAAGGGGCAGCGTTTATTTATTTTCCTTCTTAAAGGGATGGACATACGCTTAATTTGGGATGCAGCCTGACTCCTTTTGAACTGTCATCACTCAATGCCAGGTAACTGTGGGAGTTGTAGTTTCCCCAAGGGCGCCACCATACTACAACTTGTTCCATCTTGTCTACTGTGCTATGCTAATAATATAATATAATACAATATATTGTATATTCATATAATATTTATAATATTATAATGCAATACAATGTAATACTAATAATATAATATTATAATTATATATTTTATATTACATGTAATATTACTAATAATATTACAATATAATGGTATAGTACAATATAGTAATATATAATACTGATATTGTACTGTTCTAAGCCTTTGAGTGTGTGGATCATAATAAATTGTGGCAAGTTCTGGGTGGGATGGGCATCCCAAGCCCCCTTCCCTCTCTCCTGAGGAATCTGTACAAGGACCAAGTAGCAACAGTCAGAACTGACCACGGAACAACAGACTGGTTCAAGATTGGGAAAGGCGTACGGCAGGCTGCATACTCTCACCCAACCTTTTTAACTTGTATGCAGAACACATCATAGGATGTGCGGGGCTTGATGAATGCAAAGCTGGGGTGAAAATTGCTGGAAGAAACATTAACAACCTCAGATATGCAGATGACACCACTCTGATGGCCGAAAGCAAGGAGGAGCTGAGGAGCCTTCTAATCAAGGTGAAAGAAGAAAGCGCAAAAGCTGGGTTGCAGCTAAACATCAAAAAAAAACCAAGATTATGGCAACAAGAATGATTGACAACTGGAAAATAGAGGGAGAAAATGTGGAGGCAGTGACAGACTTTGTATTTCTAGGTGCAAAGATTACTGCAGATGCAGACTGTGGCCACGAAATCAGAAGATGTTTCCTTCTTGTGAGGAGAGCAAGGAGTAATCTCAGTAAAATAGTGAAGAGTGGAGACATCACACTGGCAACGAAGATCTGCATAGTTAAAGCAATGGTATTCCCGTAGTAACCTACGGATGGTGAGAGCTGGACCTTAGGGAAGGCTGAGTGAAGGAAGATTGATGCTTTTGAACTGGGGTGCTGGAGGAAAGTTCTGAGAGTGCCTTGGACCACGAGAAGATCAAACCAGTCCGTACTCCAGGAAATAAAGCCCAACTGCTCACTGGAGGGAAGGATAGTAAAGGCAAAGATGAAGTACTTTGGCCACATCATGAGAAGAAGGAAAGCTTAGAGAAGACAATGATGCTGGGGAAAATGGAAGGAAAAAGGAAGAGGGGTCAACCAAGGGCAAGATGGATGGATGGCATCCTTGAAGTGACTGGACCTTGAAGGAGCTGGGGGGGGGGGGTGATGGCCAACAGGGAGCTCTGGCCTGGGCTGGTCCATGAGGTGACAAAGAGTCGGAAGCAACTGAACGAATGAACAACAACAATGTATATTCATATAATATTTATAATATTATAATGTAATACAATATAATACTACTATTAATAATACAGTATTATTATATATTTTATATTACATGTAATATTACTAATAATATTACAATATAATGGTATAGTACAATATAGTAATATATAATACTGATATTGTGCTATGCTAATAATATATTGTATGTATATATATCTTGTAAGCTGCTCAGAGTCCCCTTCGGGGTGAGAAGGGCGGCATATAAATGTCATAAATAAATAAATAAAATAAACTTCCAGGGTTCTGTAGCTTTGGCAATGGTGATTAAAGTGGTGTCAAACTTCATTAATTCTGCAATGTAGATGAAATCTATGCCAGAGCACCAAATCCTATGAACTAAATGCTTGCTGTGGGATTCAGGAATGTTGAAGGATTTTTTTTAAATTACCCAATTTGAAACTGAATTTTAAATGTGCATTTATTGATACATATTATTTTAATATAATAACCAAGTGGTGCAGTGGGTTAAAGCACTGAAACTACTGAACTTGTTGACCGGGGAGTGGGATGCGCTCTCGCTGTCAGCCCCAACTTCTGCTAACCTAGCAGTTCAAAAACATGCAAATGTGAGTAGATCAATAGGTACCGCTCCGGCGGGAAGGTAATGGCGCTCCATGCAGTCATGCTGGCCACATGACCCTGGAGGTGTCTACGGACAATGCCGGCTCTTCGGCTTAGAAATGGACATGAGCACCAACCCCCAGAGTTGGACATGAGTGGACTTAATATCAGAGGGAAACCTTTACCTTTACCTATTATTTTAATGTGCTTTAATCTTAGCTTGTGTCCTTTAGTATATGTCTTTAAATGTATATTTTAATACATATGTACAGTAGCTGCTCAGTTAACTCTCAAGCCACCAGAAACTGCGTTTATTTTCTGGCACCTAACAATCCCCATGGCTGTTGGTTAACTGAGGATCTACTGTATTTTAGCTTTGTTCTATCCCATCTCGAGGGAAACAACATCAGTTATTATTGTCATCATCATTTTTTTATTACAGGTCAGGACTTTGCACTCTTCCAAATATTGTTAGATTGCAATCCACTGATTTCCTTGCTATTGGCTGGGAGTTATAGTCAAATGACATTTGATTGGCAGCTTTATTCCCAGGCCTGACTTGCAATTGGAGTAGCAGAAACGCAATTCTGCAGCTAATCTCCGTTTCTGAGACTCGCCTTCTTTTTGAGAAGAGCTGTCCTCGTTTTCACCCCAAATGGGCAGCCGCTCCTTATGTGTCACAGAAATTAATGTCTCGTTTGGCATCCTTTACCAAGAAAACGTTGAATCATTTTTTAGAGATGTAGGCATTAAGACGTATTTCCCCTTCATTCATCATTCCCATGCATTCGTTCAGAGAGAGAAACCATGAGACATCAAGGCAATCCAGGAAACATGGACTGTTGTTCACCTGTCATGTTGCTCAGGTTTAAGGAAATCTCAAGGGTAGCAATTATCTGAGTTACATAGTATATTCTCCAGACTCTGCTCTTCCTGTAGCATTTGGACATTCGCCACTATTGGTCATATAGGATTTCTGCATAAACCTATAGTTCCTAAATACCTTAAAGGCAACTTATCTTGCCTGATCCTGGATGCTAAGCAGGATCTTGGATGGGAGACATTTAACAAGCATGAGATGCTGTAAGCTGTATTTCAGAGGAAATAGCTGGAAAAACCATATCTAAATATTCCTTTCCTAAGAAAATCCTATTGAATCTATGGGGTTGCCTAAACTCAGATGCATCTACACTAGGCATCTACTCAGATGCATTCTACACCAACCAGTAGGCTGTTAGGAATTGTGGGAGCCGAAGTCCAAAACACCTGGAGGGCTGAAGCTTGCCCAGGCCTGATCTACACTGTAGAATGAATGTAGTTTGACCCTGTTTTTAAGGCTTTGTATGGTTTTTTAGGGAAGAGGGGCCGACCAAGGGCAAGGTGGATGGATGGCATCCTTGAAGTGACTGGCTTGACCTTGAAGGAGCTGGGGGTGGTGACGGCCGACAGGGAGCTCTGGTGTGGGCTGGTCCAGGAGGTCACGAAGAGCTGGAAGCAACTGAACGAATGAACAAAAAAAGGGTTATTTACATTCTTTTATTTTATGCTAAATGTTTTTAACAGTATTTTATTATTGTTTTATTGTTTTATAATTGTTGAGGCATCAAATTATTGCAATTGTGAACCGCCCTGAGTCGCCTCTGCACTGAGAAAGGCGGTATATAATTGTGGTAAATAAATAAATAAATCCTTTAACTGTCTTGGCTCAATGTTATGGAATCCCGGGAGTTGTAGTTTGATGAAGCTCCTGCACTCTTGGGCAGAGGAGGCTAAAGACCTTGCAAAACTACAACTCCCCTGGCATCATAATAGCATTGAGCCATGGCAGTTCAAATGGTATCAAGCTGCACTACTTCTCCAGTACAGGGTGTCTCCAAAGAAGAAAAACAAAGAAACGTTGGATTTTGAGAAATCTGATTTCGCATCCTTGGGAAACTTGACAAAGAGGAAGCAAAAAGTATGACATCAGGACATAATTTATAGTCCTTCGTCAGCTGGGTCTGCCCAAGAACCTGACAGCCTGCTGTTAAAAGGAACAGTCAGTCATTCATCCAGTCCATAAGATTAATGGTGGTTTCGGGAAAATAATTCAACATGTCTAGATTCCCCATTCCTTAGGATTAGAGAGGCAGCCACACCTCAAGAACCCCATTCCTATGGGGTCAAAGTTGGGTTGAAGGCCACAGGGCTTTGTATCTGATGTCTTTATACTTGGGCTGTATCTTCTACACTGTAGAATTAATGCAGTTTGACACCACTTGAACCGCCATGGCTCAATGCTACACAATCCTGGAAGTAGCAGTTTTATGCAGTCTTAAAGAGAGTGTTAATGCCTCACCAAACTACAACTCCCAGGATCCCATTGCATTGAGTCATGGCAGTTTAAGCAGGGTCACACTGCATTCATTCCACAGATGCACCCCAAGTTATTTTGGCATACGAGACAGAACATTCCCACAAATCTTTTGCACATCTCTGGTTGTAAAAGGCCAGATTTTACAAGTAATTCCATTGATGGAGACCTGCATATTTATTTGACTCTAATTAAGCAAAAATATAAGTCATTTTAGGTGTTCTAGAAATACATGTAATTTTGGCTGTTTTACGTACATCTGAGTCTTTTTTCTTTCCCAGAGCCAAAAGAAATTGAATAACAAAACATTTAATATTATCAATATTATATTTATTTATACCCCTTTTTATCTTACCCATGGAGCCCCTGGTGGTGCAGTAGATTAAACCACTTCACTGATGAACATGCTGACTGAAAGATTGGCGGTTTGAATCTGGGGAGTGGGGTGAGTTCTTGCAGTTAGCCCCAGCTTCTGGCAACCTAGCAGTTTGAAAACATGCAAATGTGAATAGATCAATAAGTACCGCTTCTTCAGGAAGGTAACGGCACTCCATGCAG